CAGAATTTAGCGGCAGGGTTATCTCAGTCGGTAGAGCGTTCAACAGCAGAGCGGGAAGTCGCAGGTTCGATTGCCGAGGCCAGACCAATACTCAGGGTCTTAAAATAACTGAGAAATAAGGGTACTTCCTTGGTCCTGCTAACGGGTAGACCTTCGTGTGGTTCGGATGACCTGATAAAATGGCGGTCACGTCTCTAGAAGCAGACATAAATAATAGTGTCCCCAATTAGTACTTTCGTGCTAAATACATTGACACTCAAAGTGCATTTTTTAATGCTGTGGTTGTCTTTTGAACTGCATGTATTGGATAAGTACTAAGAGACAAACCTTGCTTAGATCCATACACCTCCACCCTTAATGCTTTGCTGCTGTTAAATGTAACTGGATAAAAACGAATAAACTTGGCAGCAGGTGGCTCATATAGTTCACTTCTTACAATGCTGTTCTTGTCATCATTTCCAGTAAATATCTAAAAGCAAATTAACAAAAATTTCTATAAAATGCAGATGAAAGACAAATTCGTGCGTTTAGGTGTTTCATTCGCACGGAAAATTTGAACGCCTAGCCGTTCAAAGATTTGAAATGAGAAAAATCAAGTGGTGTGAACACCATAACCATCTAAATTTTTGTGTATGAGGATTGCAACTACATTGACGATGACACCCGCCGGCAGAACAAAAGGCAATGGATATTAAAAGGAAAACCACGTGTATGTCAGTTTCTTTACATTTTACTACTTATTTCCCTAACGTTTCCTATGTAAACAGCAGCAAGAGACTAAGGATAGACTGCAAAACAGTCCGTATTTTTGCGTATTCAAGTACGCGCGAGCAGTCAAACAAAAGGTGTGGAACGAGGCTGAAAACAGAGAGCGAGACTGGTGAGAGACGCTAAAAAATACGGACTGTCCGTTTTGCATACGTTATATTCGTTCGAATTACCCGCTTCTCCCAGCCACGGGCAATTCCCATTGGCTAAATTTCGATGCAGCTGTCACCAAGCTGTCAAGTAATGTTTTCAACAAGTCATTCGCGGTATTCCCTACCGAGATGAATTGCTAAAGCTTTCACCGTAAAATGACGGATCGACCGGATATGCTCGCAAGAATTGGGATTTGTTTGAAAATCGGAGCAGAAGGAAGCTTTGGAGTTACTGCTCAGGGGAAAGGATGTTTTCCGTGTTCTACCAACAGGATTTGACAAAAGCCTCATTTATCAGATGTGGTTCACGCAAAGAGTTCGTCAAGTTCTGTTCAACGGCCGACCGTGTGGTAGGAAACACACGACTTTCACCTGATGCAAAAATGCTGCTTGTTCCAATGAATTGTTTCCTCTTTCGAGCAGATTATGCTTTGGAGGAAAACGTTTAGACTGAGCAATCGTGAATTTTGGCCGCTTATTAAATATATTTCATACTGACAGGTCGTGACACGCATATTGATTTTCTCTAGTCGGCATGATTTGCCCTCTGATGCAAGACCGTTTTCTTTCTTGGCCCCTTTAGAAATGTCAGGCTCTTCATTGCGGCTGATTAAGGGTTTTAGGTTGTTTTATTTCTCCAAAGTGCCTCCCGGATTTCAATAATTTTAAGCGATTTTCTTTATGTCCGTGAATGTGACTATTTCCTGCAATGTTTTGTCACGCTGGGCCCAGCTCGTTAGGGTTTTTAGCAGGATTTTAAATTTTCACAGATAGTGATTTACAGAGCTAAATCACCAAGACGTGGATTGGAATGAGGGAATTTACTCATTCTTTTCAATCGCAATAATTGTTCATTGTCAGTTGGCGTGTTCAGTTCTTCTCTAATTTGCGAAAGCATCGCCGTGCAGTTTCCCGGGGCAGTTTCTAACCTTTGTTCCGCACGAGGAGAAAACTCTTGTGGAGAAAGATTCTACTTCTTTGGGGACAACGAACTTTTCGTTTTTTTGTAGGTCGGCCCACTTTGGTAACGTTTCTCCTTTTCTGGTAGGCGCAACAAACACATTTTCAGATCTTATCCATCCACTCGTAGAATTGCCGAACTGTGTTTTGAAACAACAGCCGCACATTCTACAATTTATCCGAAGCGCTAAGCTGGCACTTTCGGCTTTCTCCCTCTTCGAGGAGTACGCAGGCTTTGTTGTTGTACAGCCACTTCCACTCATTTTTGATCCTCCACTATATATACTACATTTCACAGAGAAGTAACGCCAAAAAATGCTTTAGAATTACCGGATTACAGCGTCAAGATTCGAAGCCAAGTGCAGACAATAACACGCGGTATTCTCCCTCGAAATCAATCACCGAGTGTATCAATTTCATAAAGAGGGCGGGGTTGTGAACAGATTTTTGACAGCTCGACGACATTTTTGAACCCCCTGGTCGGAACGAACTCATTGTATGGAAAACGGACAGTCGGTTTTTTCTCTCTCGCCTCACACGCCCTACGGGCGTGTGAGGCTCGCGCGGTTCGCGCGCATAAGACTCTTACGCCACGCGTTACCGATTTCTTTACTGATTTTGAGGAAAAAACCGACTGTTTTGCAGTCTAGACTAAGGAAGGAAGGCTGTAGTAACGAGGGGAAAAAGAAGCAAGGCAGAAGGCAGGAAGAAAAAAAGGCGGCAACTAGAGACGGTGAAGATGGGGGAAGAGAGGGGATAACGAATGGAAGGGAGAGAAAGAGGGATTCCATGTGAATTTCAGGTTTGACGTGGCTAAGAGGTAAACACAATCCTTCATCACTTAGTGTCTCTACGATTATAACTTCGCTATTACTTCACCTACAACAGAAAGGGATGTTAACAGTACCTTTTCGGAGCCACCCTCAGAATAGAATGTCCACACGACATTATCCAGGGACGTCTCTATCTTGTATGTGTTTGTCCAATGATCATTATTTGGATTTCCTTGTGTTGCTACTCCACAAACAAAGTAAAGAGATCCCAGATCGATCTGCAGGAAATCATTGTTGTCATTGTTTGTGGAAGGAATCCAGGCATTGGATCCTTTTAATCGGCCATCAGATGGACTGCGGCCGCTAAGAGATGACGAAGCTGAAAACTTCTGATTAGAAATAACGCTACTATCCGACACTCCTACTGGATCAAGTACACAACCTAGAAAAAAAATTTAAAAAAAGAACACAACCTAAGTTTATGAAAAAAAGGAGGAAGAATTATTATCGTGTTATTATTCTTAAAGTAGAAGGTACAGACTCACAGAACAATGTTATTGCTTTAATCTGGGGTTCCTTCCTGTTTCATTTAAAAACAACAACAACAACAACAACATAAGAAAAGTATAAAAGGGATAAATCTTCTCGTTTGTAATCTATTGTCAATTTTTAGCTTCATACAGTCGTTTCGATTTCGATCCAAAGTGACTGAAAGGCTTCATCAGATACTTCTTTAACAACGGTACATTTCAGAGAATCACTAATATACAAGCCAACACCTTTCTTTTACTATAGTCGAAAAAGTTGCATTTTTCCAAAGGGGTTAACCCATGTTTCTGGTCAAAAATTCAAAATGTCTTTCAAGCCAACTTTTCGGTATTAAAGACCTCGTTTTTATCGCCTGATGATGTTGAGGCTTGTTAGACGACATAAATGTCATTTTACTATAGTCGAAAAATTTGCATTTTTCCAAAAGGGTTAACCAATGATTCTGGTTAAATGTTCCAAATTTCTTTCAACCTAGGTTTTTCGTCTGATGATGTTATGTTCTCAAAATGAGTCTTTTTGGACGGTAAAAATGTCATTTCATGGTCGAAAAATTGGCATTTGTCCAAAGGGGTTAACCGATGATTCTGTTAAAAAATTCCAGACATCTTTTAAGCCTACTTTTCTGTAAAAGAGACCTCGGTTTTTTCTTTTGATAATGTTGTTTAATCAAAAGGAAGCTTTTTAGACAATAAAATTGCAAATGTGAGAGGCTAGAGGTGTCGGAACATATTCGAAAACATATCCAGGTATGCTTGGATTAAAATCCATTTCTTTACCGCTGATTATAAATTTTAGTTTCTGAAACTCCTATAATGCTAAATTCAGAATTCAACTCGTCCAATACATGAACTTGAAAGTTTTCAAGGTTTCGCTTAAGACTCCTGATGTTAAATGCTAGAGAGTTTTTCTAGGTACTTTTTCGCCGGCAAATGGAGAAAAACAATTATTATATTGACTATAAACCAAAACCAAAATAACGACGGTTTCCTCCTAAATGCATTGAAACACTTTTTAGGCTATCCAGAGTACTTTTAGATCTCTAAAAATGTATTCTAAGTAGCGCTAATTTCATTTGTTCGGTCATCCTAGGGCAACTTGAGTCTTTTCGAAATTACAAGGGCTTCAGCATTATTTTTCCGAACATTTTAGCTGCAATTTAGAGTTTTACGGAAGTGAGAATTTTTCTCTGCATCGCATTTTTTGTTCCAAAAATTTTAGGTTTCCTTTCTCCACTAAAAAAAAGGCTTAACCTGGGGAGTGAAATGGAAAAAATTTAACTTCACAAAATCGTAGGGAATTTATTAGATAGCCTTCAAAAATTGTACATGAATGGAACGGTCATCTAAAAAAATCTAGACAATATTTGCTTCTCCGAACAGATATTTCAAAGAAAACAGTCATCGGGTGCTCCTGTAAAGACACTCATTAAACTTTCAAAGTTTCTCTTTTTTTTTTCTTTATGAGTTATTACTCGGAGTTTTTTTAACTCTTTTTTAAATTTCTATCCGTTCCATATTAGTTACAGTGACAAAGAAGGAAACAAACGAGGAGGGACAAAATCAATATAGTAAATCCAATTATTAAAAGCACCCTTTTGCGAAAGTAAAGGAGAAAACTAAACAGAGAGGAAACAAGAAAACGTGAAATAAGCATAGATGTACAAAGATTGGTCAGACAGTTATTAGGAAGCCTAACCAACGACGACAACGGCAAAAAAGCAATAGGTTTTGCCCCGTCCACATGTATCCGGATATTTTTGATGACGGAGATTTTTACCTCCATTTTCAAACAAATACGCAACCACACGTAGCATATTCGAATCGTAGTCACCCGTCCACACGAAAACGTTAAAACGATGGAAATACCATAGCTTTATTATTGAGCATGCGTTATGCTGGGAGTATATGATGGATGGCATCATCGTTTTCCGATTTCGAAACGGTTTTGGTCCGTCCACACGTAAAAGAAAAGCCGAGTACATTTTGAAAAATCTCCACTCTAAAGAGCGTTATTGAAAAGGCGTATTTTCGGTGATCATTTTTCACTGCATTAGTGAGTGTGGAAGGTAGGCTTAACCGGAGAAAAAATATCTTTTTTCAAACAAAACCGGATACGTGTGAAAAACAAAAATTTTGCACGAGCATTAAGTATTTTTGCACATTTCGTTGCTGTCACTGCATGACAATGACGTGAAACTTCTTAACTTGACGTATCATGGAGAATGTGAACGCAAGACAACGATTTTCCTTTTCTTTTTTTAAAACTGTGATACTAAACTTTAGAACACAACTCCCAGAAAAATCTCTAACATTTGACAACTTTAGCGTGATGAATCAAAAGCGATAAAGTTTGACAGAGCGCAGATGCTTTTTGTTAAGTGAGGTTTTTGATGCCGTCGCCGTCGTGGTTGCATGCTTAAGCTCCCTATTAAAACTGAGCACTGAACCAAGTGGTAAGTCAGTTTCCTTGCATCTTATGTACAAACCAAAATTTAGCGACAGGGTTAGCTAAGTCGGTAGGGCGTTCGACTGCAGAGAGGAAGGTCGCGGGTTCGATTCCCGGGGCCGGACCAATACTCTGGGTCTTAAAATAACCGAGAAATGAAGGTACCTCCTTTGCCCTACAAACAAGTAGACCTTCGCGTGGCTCGGATGACCTGGCAAAATGGCGGTCCCTTCTCCAGTAGCAGACGTAGATAATAGTGTCCCCAATTAGTACTTTGGAGCTAAATACATTGACACTCAAAGTGCATTGTTTAATGCTGTGGTTGTCTTTTGAAGTGCATGTATTGGGTATGTAGTAAGAGACCAACCTTGCTTAGATCCATACACCTCCACCCTTAATGCTTTGCTGTTGTGAAATGTAACTGGATAAAAGCGAATAAACTTGGCAGCAGGTGGTACATATACTTCACTTCTTACAATGCTGTTCTTGTCATCATTTCCAGTAAATATCTAAAAGCAAATTAACAAAAATTTCTATAAAATGCTGATGAAAGACAAATCCGTGCGTTTGGGTGTTTCATTCGCACGGAAACACGCTGACCGTACGAAAATTTAGCCGTTCAAACATTTGAAATGAGAAAAATCAAGAGGTGTGAACACCATAACCATCTAAATTTTTGTGTAGCAAGGCCGTGGTTGCATGAATGCGTGGTAACTCAGCTGGGAGAGGCCATACTGGATTTCACGTGAAGTAGTGCTCTGCGCATGGGTAAATGGAAAAACAACTGAAAAAAATTACAATTCTCAAACTGGTTTGTAAGTTCCATGTCAAGAGAGCGAAAATATTGAACGGTTCCGTGTCTGGTCAAATTTTTCTACCGGTCGAAAATTCGTCTAGTGCCTTTTTAACGTAGTGTACGTCTAACCCTACCCCCTCACGGTTAACATGAGAAACAAGAACATATAAACAAACGCTATTTATGAGGATTGCAACTACATTGACGATGACTGCCGCCGGCAGAACAAAAGTCGAAGGATATTAAAAGAAAAACCACGTCCGATATATGTCAGTTTCTTTTACATTTTACTACTTATTTCCCTAACGTTTCCTATGTAAACAGCAAAAGACCAAGGATGGAAGACTGTAGTAACGAGGGGGAAAAGAGGCAAGGCAGGAGGCAGGAAGAAAAGGAGGAGGAAACTAAAGACGGTACAGACGGGAGAGGAGAGAGAGGACAGCGAACGGAAGGGAGAGAAAGGGGACGAAAGCAATTTCATCTGAATTCCTGGTTTGAAGTGGCTAAGAGGTAAACACAATCCTTTATCACTTAGTGTCTCTACGATTATAACTTCGCTATTACTTCACCTAGAGTAGAAAGGGATGTACCTTTTCAGAGCCACCCTCAGAGTAAAATGTCCACACGACATTATCCGGGGACGTCTTTATCTTGTATGTTTTTGTCCAATGATCATTATTTGGATTTCCTTGTGTTGCTACTCCACAAACAAAGTAAACAGAACCCAGATCGATCTGTAGGAAATCATTGTTGTTATTGTTTGTGGCAGGAATCCAGGCATTGGATCCATTTAATCGGCCATCAGATGGACTGCGGCCGCTAAGAGATGACGAAGCTGAAAACCTCTGATCCGAAATAACGTTACTATCCGACACTCCTACTGGATCAAGTACACAACCTAAAAAAGTTAGAAAAACAAACGTACACAACCTAGGTTTATTAAAAAAAAAAGGAGGAAGAAAACAAGCTAACAAATCCCTACATATCCTTAGAACGCAGCACAAAGAGGGGTACAATCAGTCAGAAATAGACCTTCTCTTTAATACAATAATTCCACCTAGCGTTAATTACGCATTATCTGTCTACGCCGCGTCCGAGTCCGATCTTACACCTGTACAATGTTTCTTACACCGCTGTTTTAAAAGGAAATATACGTCTAAGCCTGTATAAGTGTTTATGATTTCTTAGAGAGGCAAGACCGTAAAATTTTCAGAAAAGTTTCTAATGCTGAAGGACATCCATTTTTATATCTATTATGCCTCGTGTTAAACCGTCTAGTTACAAGGAAAGAAACTTGTTTTACACCGAAGATTAACACTGTGCGCTTTAACTCTTTTATTAATCGTCTAGTTTTTAAATGTGAATTAGCTATGTAATATACTAAAAATATATATATATATATATATTAATTCTTACTTTTTAACTTTTTAAAATTTCTTACACTTACTTGTAACAAAAGATAAATATATTTTTATCTTTCGATGAATAAAGACTTTATCATTATTACTATTATTATGAATTATTATCGTGTTATTATTCTTAACGTAGAAGGTACATACTCACAGAACAACAAAAACAACAAAAACACAAGAAAAGTATAAAAGGGATGAAAGTGTAATGGCTTCCACAATGAACTACGCCGAATACATCCACTTCTCGTTTGTAATCTATTGTCAACTTTTAGCTTCATACAGACCTTTCGATTTCGATCCAAAGTGACTGGAAGGCTTAATCATCAGATACTTCTTTAACAACAGTACATTTCAGAGAATCATTACTATACGAGCCAACACCTTTCTTTTACTATAGTAAAAAAATTTGCATTTTTCCAAAGGGGTTAACCCATGATTCTGGTACAAAAATTACCAATGTCTTTCCAGCCTACTTTTCGGTATTACAGACCTCTTTTTTTATCGTCTGATGATGTTGTTTTCCCAAAAGGAGGCTTTTTAGACCACATAAATGTCATTTTACTATAGTCGAAAAATATGCATTTTTCCAAAGGGGTTAACCGATGATTCTGGTCAAAAATTCCAGACATCTTTTAAGCCTACTTTTCTGTAAAAGAGACCTCGGTTTTTTCGTTTGATAATGTTTTTTTATCATAAGGGAGCTTTTTAGACAATAAAACTGCAAATGTGAGAGGTTAGAGGTGTCAGAACATATTCGAAAACATATCCAGGTATGCTTGGATTAAAATCCATTTCTTTACCGCTGATTAAAAATTTTAGTTTCTGAGACTCCTATAATGCTAAATTCAAAATTCAACTCGTCCAATACATGAACTTGAAAGTTTTCAAGGTTTCGCTGAAGACTCCTGATGTTATTATGTAGAAGAGAGAAGCTCAAATCACTGGCACGACAGGGAAGTTCACTTTTAAATCTGTAGAAACTATACGGGGAATAGTGGTGACGATGGATACGATGGATGGATACGATGGTACGTTTAGCCTGAAAAGATTAAGGAATTTAGGAATACGAGATTTTATTCTTTTTAACTTGTTTTCTTTTTAATATCAGAGACGGATTTGTAATGACTTAATTTAAAACTCTGGACTGTCTGCAAGAGTTATTGACCGCATCTGAGACGCAAGGGATGTAATTGCGAAATCGCTATTGACAGGGTGATTGCTCTTTTTATGATTTATATAATTCTTAATGTTATATGGTGCTTAATTTGTACTTCAAATATTTCTGTAAATTATGTTCATATTTTTTTGCAGTTGAATATTTTTTTCCTTCCTATAATAATAATAATGATAACAATAATAATAAAAATAATGAGACACTTATAAAGCGCGCTTTCCCCAGGGTCCAAAGGCGCTATTTAAACTTAAAATTTAAAACTACAATCACAGTTTAAATTTAAAATTTAAGAATAAAAAACTACAAAAACTAAAGATAAAATAATTTAAGACCTGATACAAAAACACCATTGTCATGTAATCAGTTTCAAAAGGCGCGTCTAAAAAGAACAGTTTTCAACTGTCTTTTAAAAATGTCCAGTGATCCAGCATCCCTAATATGCTGAGGAAGACTATTCCAAAGAAGCGGCGCAGCAACAGAAAAAGCTCGCCGGCCATAACTGTTCATGTTAAAAGCAAGCACGACAAGTAGATTTTTCTTTGAAGTCCTAAGATCCCGTTCCGAGAGGTAACTCAGAAGAACATTTTAATATAAGCAGGAGCAAGTCTATGGAGAGGCTTGCAGGTAACGATAAGTATTTTCAATTCAATCTAGAGATAAATTGAGAGCCAGTGAAGATTCGCAAGAACAGGTGTAATATGACAGAGCTTGGGCGAAAGAGTAACAACACGAGCAGCTGCGTTCTGCACTCGTTGGAGCTGTTTAATCACGTTCTTAGCTAAACCATATAGTAACGAATTACAGTAGTCAAGCTTTGATGTAACAAGAGCTTGAACAAGACGCTGGGCTGCATCAAAGGTGAGATGTTTACGAATGAGCCTAATTTTACGGAGACGATAGAATGCGGATTTGCACATTGCTGTCACCTGACTCAAAGATTCGTCGAAGAGAACTCCAATGTTCCCGCTCTTGTTGAAGCTAGCACTCTCTCATCACAAACATGAATATCTCACAAAGGAGGTCGAGCACGGTGTAAAGATGATACCACAAGAAGTTCAGGTTTGTCTTTATTTAATTTTAGCTTATTCAGAAGTATACAGGGGTCAATTTCTAGTACACAGGCTTAAAATCTACACTTGCTCAATTCCATATCATTAAGGGATGACGCCTCGAATGTTACATAAAGCTGCCTGTCATCCGCATAAAAGTGAAAACTTAGTTCATGCTTACTGGCGATATCACTCAGTGGAGAGGTGTACAATGAGAATAAAAGAGGTTCAAGAAACAACCCTTGGGGTACACCAAACTTCAGAACACGTCGCTCGGAGGTAGATCCATTGATATTTACAAACTGAGTGCGATCACCCAAATACAATGGAAACCATTCCAATGCCCTACCACCAATTCCAAATCGACGAGAACGGCGTAAAAGTAAGATACAGTGATCCACAATATCAAATGCCGCGGAAAGATCAAGGAGCAGCAAAATCACTTATCTTTTCTGATCTCAGACAATTGCGATATCATTATGGACTCGGATTAAAGCAGTCTAAGTGCTGTGAAGTTTCCTGAACGCTGATTGGTATAAGACATCGACACCATTGGCATCTAAATAATCAATGAGCCGCTTGGCAACACATTTCTCGACTACTTTAGACACAAAACCCTACTTCGAAATTGGCCTAAAATTCTTGAATTCACCCGAACTCAAAGATTGCTTCTTGAGCAGTGGTTTGACACTAGCCACTTTGAGATTAGTAGGAAGTATTCCAGAGTCCATTGAAAGGTTGATAATCTTTGTTATCACTGACCTGACAATTCATGATAAAAACAGGAATAGGGTCTAAATCAAGACTTTATAGGGTCTAAATCACAAGCCTTTAAATTCATAATGTCAGGTCTCCGAAGCAAATCGCCGTAGACTACCAATGTTCGTTATCTTGTAGGGAACGCTCATTCTTTCGTAAATAAATAGTGGAATTCTTGGCCCAGCAGAAGCGGTATTGGTTGTGTTCTTTACATCTCTTCGCTTCAAACAACAGGTTTTGTTTTTAGGAGGTAAGGTGATCGAAGATTCTGACTCTATCAAGAACACTATCAGCAGACACACCGATGTTTAATTGGTTGACTTCAGAGGCACTTTGTCGAGTTTCCATGATACTTGCTTTTGCGAGGCATCTCGCGAATTTGCAGGTGATGAGAGTTTCAAGGCGCCATTTTGCTGCCTCGAGTGGACGCGATGAGCAATGTCAATGTCCGACAGAAACACTTCTGCCCCCCACTCGTGGAATAATTTTACGCACATGGCGCTTGTTTCAGATGCGATTTCACTGCTTTTCTCTAGCAGGTCAATTATTGAGTTGGTAGCTCTATTCCTCAACCTCGTCAATGGGGTTGCCAACACGTGTAACTTCAGCGTTGAGCTCATTAAGGCTTAATGCCTTGAGATGATTAACGGCATCATAATAAGAGGCCGACAGATCGTCGTATTCGATGCTCGATCAGATATTAAAGACTAGGAGACACGGTTTCATCATTCGAAGAATTATGATTGCTATTTCCAGAGGTAGCGGTCACTTCAGCACCAGAGGTAATGACCCTCTCAACATGAACCTACTCTTTCAGCTGTGCTATTTCCTTCGAAAGAGCGTCGACCTTATCCTTTATATCTTGATTTTGTTACTTTAGTGAAGAAACTGTCTCTTTTGGCATAATTTCAGTGAAAATTATCAATAAAAGGACTGTGGAAAAACGACTCATTAAGGTAAGAAGTGTGAGCTTAAAATTTAACGTCCATCTTGGCTCCTGACTGATTAATCATCCATTCATAAACTTCACTTTACAAGCTCAATGAATACTCGCTTCCGATCGACCGCTGTTCTTTCATATACAGCGACGTGGGGGTGCCCAGTTTAACCTATTCGCGGTTTTAGAATGAGTGTAGTATGAATTCAAACCAAAGCTAATACTCCGACCAATCACGACGCCGACAAATCTAGCTAATGAACCAATCATAACTTAAAGTAAAACCATGTTGAGTCGAAACCAAAAAAGCGCGGGAACATGCGAGCAAGATGTCACTCCTGATCAGCGGCGGAAAGTTAGCTATCTTGTTGTGGTTTGGGTATTGTCAGTGTCTTTTTTAATTTTTGTATTTTGTCATTTGGTGATCGCACACGTCGGCAACTCACCAAGAAACTAGCGGGGAAAGGGGCGCGAATTTCTTCATACTTAATCATTTCATATTCACTGAATACTGCTTAACATACAATACAGTATACACTAAAAGACGCCCCTTTATTTCTCAAGGTTCTCCCGGCTGATTGTCGTGGACAATATTAACGATGATGTAAAGAGACAAAAAAATACAATGCACCTTAGTAAACTTAAATTTAAGGGAATTTAAAATATTCTACACTGTTGAAATCGTTGTTAAAAACTGAATTCCCTTGGTAAGAAAAATTTATCCCATAACTGTATCACATAAGGCAAACACCACAAAAGAAAAATGAACAGATTGATTTAAAAAAATACAGAAACGTTTTATATGTGAACTATACAAAACGATTTTAAAAACTGATTACTTTTTTAGTAAAAGGCAAAAAAAAAAAGATACAAAAGATACACACACAAGCATCATGCATACCTATAAAATAAACAGGAGGAAAGAAAAGTGCTCTTACTTTCTGATTTAAGATAGGAATGAACTTCAACCTCGCAGACCGTCAAGAACTCCCTTTTAAGTAATCTGATGTACAAATATCTGCCATATGCTTTGGAACTACAGGAATATGTCTTGGAACTTGCTGCTGGGATTCGTATGTTACTTGCACAAAGACTGTTGTCTGCTCCTCCACTTGTTGTTTTATTTCCTTGCAAAGCGAATGAAAGAAAATATGAGGTAACATTTACTGCAGTATTTGAACACAATTCATGTACAATAATAGTTGAAAAGGTAACGAAGAAACGATCTTGTTATTTGCTTTAAGATCAGGGGAGTGCTGCAATCTTACTTGCAAAACCTTTACATTCATGTATATATTGGCTCAGCACTCAAACAGAATCTGTGGGAATTTGACTTTACGTGAATGTAACTATGTAGGAGGAAAATGTTTGTAACGGATCGGCGCCCGAAGCCTTAAGAACCAACTTGTTCGGGTTCGACGCGATAAATTACGATTACGATTACGATTACGATTAAGCAAATTTTTCGAAGACCAACCAGCCCCCAGGGCGAGTGCAATTTGTGGTCTTTCAAAAACTTACGAGTGCTGTTTTAGCCCAAATTGCACGAGAAAAATCATATGATTACTTGTTAATAATATGTCACCTCGCAGCGTTTGTCACAGCTCCCTCTTCCCGCCTACAAGTGACAACCTCGACCAAGATTGGTCAAAATTTTGACAGGCGAATATTGATGGATAAAAACGCAGCAGCTAGAAATTTGTTTATAGAAAACTGAAGCCTTTTGTCATTTTGGCTGAGTTTGTGTCTTTAATTCGTCATGTTTTTCCACTGCCACGACGGAAATAAATACATGTACTAACAAGATTCCTAATTTGTTGTGCAGGGGCGGATCCAGGATTTTTTCAAACGTCCCAGGGCCAAGGAATGGGGGAGGGGGAAGGGTGGGAATGGGGGAGGGTGACGAAGGTTAGGGTTATGTTTGAATATGTTTCAGAGGAATTTGAGGCACTATTAGTAATGGTAATAGGACTGAGTGGTGTATGACACGAAGTCCCGTCATCGAATAATTGTGTCAGTAACAAAATGCGAGAATCTCAGTTTTGGAATATTTATTAATGTGAATAAAAGTCACTGGACCAGTTAGTTTCATCCATTTTTCTTTTCCAGTTGAAGCTGGACAGCTTACCTGGTCACTATTTCTTCATTGATTTTGATCGGTTATCTTGTGCTTTGTGGTCAAACTTCAATGGCTTGTGGCATTCGCTACTTGGTTTTCATTGGTTCTATAACTGTCCGATTTGACCTGTCCGATTACAAGCTCCCGTAATCGGACAGGTCAAATCGGACAGTTTTCAGAGACAGAGCGTTCTTGGATGAGCCTTTACAAAGGCTTCGCATATCTCATCTACTGTACCTCGAAACTTTCGGAGTAGTGCATGACGATCACTGCGAGATCAGAGAATCGCTCCATTGTTGACCTAGAGCAGGTCTTGATTCATTTCATCAGTGAAAACGACAACTCAGCTTCTCCACTTGTGATCGTTAGGGGGCAGGTCACGACCAGAAGGCGATAGATGTTTAAAAAAACCCCTTCGTCAAGTGCTAATAAAAGGTTGTTTGGAAGCTCCCTATCAGTTGACTGCCAGAGTGTTTTCCATCTACGTACCTCATTTCCAAGGGATTTCAGAGATGGAATGTCTTTCTCCCAGAACAGCGCGCCTTTTACTTTTATCCGATCCAGCTGCAGTGCCTTATTTACCATAATCGATGGCACGAGACAAAGCAGATGGTGAGCGTGGTGATCTTCGTCATAAAATCGATCTTGCATTTGGATACGTGAGGAATCAATTCAAGAAGAGGAATAGCAACAGTCTTCTTGTAATGGCCGATTGGACTGGAACTTAAATTATAACTTATAATATTATTTTTGGTATGAAAAAGGGATAGACATGGGTAACCAGACAAGTTTAAAAACTTCCCCAACTCAACGATCCCCCCTGGATCCGCCAATGTTGTGGTTTGTTTATTTGGGTTTTGGTCGAGGAAAGCGTCGCAACTGTGGTTTCATCGATGGCTGTTTTTGTAAGAACTTTCATGCCGGCTTTCACAGCAGAATAACAGAGAAAACTAAAGCGTTTCTATACGAACCTCACTTACTAGCTTTCAGGAGTTGCATCTCAGATGAGTTTGAGTTAATACATATTTTTGTCTCGTTTAACGGCGTGCATAATTATTTTAAGTTTCTTACGGGTGACTCGGTAGATAAATTTGAGACGATGTATGGCCTCGTGTTGAAAATATACAAGCTTTTTTAACAGTGACTGTAAATAATAAAGGAGTTGTAAAGAAAACTTAGTCTTTTTGTCTCAAGACATTTTTCATGTCTGATTGTCAGTCAAGAATTTTGCAATTTGTTATTTGGCTTTTGTTTTTTGGTGGTTTCTTTCTAGGGGTGTGGATCAAAATGCCGCGTGAAAGTAGCTGCTGAAATCAGAATGGCTTCATGGTTACATGGCTTGTGATTTACGTCTGTTTGCACATTCTTAATCCTTACCGAAGAGACAAATTACATAAAGAAGTTGTCGATTATTCTTCTGACAGATCCTTAACTCATCTGAGGCTGACAATCAATTTAATTTAATTTTTTTGCAATTTTTAAAAATTTTCATAGTTTTTTAATTTTTAAAAATTTTTAAAACTAGACTATAGTGAGCAGCACTCTGCGAACTGTTGCTGTGAAACTTGTTTATTCTCCTACGCGTTTCGTCTAACTAACGTGGACTTCTTCAGGGAGTTTTACAATCAAATACCAAACGCCTGTATTTAAGCCATAATGTGACTAAAAATAATGATGGTCGCAATCATTGAAGGTTTGGCCGGATTTACGAAAAGCCAGGGTGTCCAGTTCCTATTTTTTCCTATTTTGTGAGCCTATTCCTATTTTCTCCTGTTTTTAAACTGAAACCTCCTATTTTTCCTGTTGTTTAGCTGGTGAAGCCAAAATTTCACGATGGTCGGTTGCTATGGGTTTTCCTCCCGCAACTTTAGTTGCTTACTGGCGCAGAAATTGTCAGCGGCGGTTGGCGCCAAAAGCAAAAATTGAAAAACATTCTCAAAATGGCGGCAAGTGGAAAAGTTATCGAAAGCCCAAGAAAGTTAAATTTGAGGCCTCTCGGGGTGGAAAGTAATACAGAAAGAGGGGACCGCTTTTGGAACAGAAATGTGGTGGAGATGAAATTTTCCGTTGAACATGACTGGATGAAGAGGGTTCGTTTCGCCGAGAGCAAGCCGAACTACGGGATGAGGGAGCTCGACCCCGTCCTGGAAGAGCTCACGGGGAACAAGCTTGAGCTTATTGGCCCCATGTTGGATGGGTTTATAAAAGAAATCGGGCTTTCAATTCATGCCAAGCTCGGCAGATCAAGAATGACTGGTCTCATGGCACCCGTCGTCTTATTTATGCCCTTCCAAATCTTCAGGCATCTGTGGGTCCTGGTACAAGGTTATGGCGGAAACATTGAATCCTCAAAGAAAGGAGAGAAAATAACGTTGACAATCACACGACCCGACACGGCGGAGAAAATTTGGTCGCCAGCAAGATTTTCAGGGGAGAATTTTTTAAAGAAGCGACACTATGAAAAAATTCCCGAGAAGGGTCGAATAATTCAAACCTTCAGTGGCAAATCAATCGTTGTTGTCACGCAAGCAACTCCAATTGAAATAAAGTTCTCCATGAAACATCAGAGGATCACCACAACTTTTTACGTTCAGCGCTATGACCGAAATGGTTTTGCGAAGGATTCTAATTTACAGAAACTCATGAACTTGACCGAGCAACAACAGGACTGATTAGACTGATCTGTTTGAGCATCACTTTGACCTTGAACACTTGAAGTCAACAACAACAACATTGAGGTTGTCTCAATCATTTATTTGAAATGAAAATATTTCTTTCAGATATAAAAGGATTTTGATTACTAAATAACTTAAATATCTAGTCGAAGATAGAAAATAGAATACAATAAATGCATTATTACTACAAGGTAAAGCCACTATTAGTAGCCTACAGAGACAGTCTTACAGTGTTATGTACCTAAAAATATTATGAAGATCTTTGAGTTTCACTGCTTCACAATAAAAACTCTTACTTAAAACTCCCGAAATCATAGAGAAATCTGTTTAACAAAAATTTTCATATATTATCTATCAGACAATCCATTACTGGATAATATACTTAAGGTCTTAAGGAAGAACAATAATTTTTATTTCATCTTTTTCAGTTGCATTATTGTAACCCACTTTGTTAGGCAATTTGATATGTTTTTTTTGGCTTATGATATACTTTACAAAATTGCACATCTGTATAATTTTAATTACTATTAAAGTTTCTTTATAATGATCAAATTGCTGCTTTGTAAACTTTCTCCAATAAAATAATCTGTAAAATATAACCACTTTTTTCTAAGTGCATACTACTCATAAATTACATAAAACCACATCACTTTCTTGTAGAAATACTATGAGCTTTTTTCAAGCAGGTCACACAGTAGAATGTTAGTTGTTCAAGAAAACAGACACGGTGTATCAAGTGTTTCTCCTGTGAGGTAAATGAGCTGCAGGTCAACGCTGCTGCACCAATATTATTTTACATTAGTGATCATTAAAACCAAGCTCCCCGAACTAAAGTATCATAAGTTCATACAGAACCCTTTACACCCCAAAATCTAACAAAGCACCCCTTTCAGCCCCAATTAAGAAAAATTGGGAAAAATCTTCCAATTGATGAAAGGGCAAGTTATGATTTCTTCCCTCAAAGTTTACCTTGCATATCATATAATAAAGCAATTTAAGCAAGAAAAAATACATGGGAAAGAAAGGTCAGAAATAGCAGTCTTTTGACAGGGTTTATTATTCTAAAAAATATGATACTAACCTTCCCCAGCTAGAGCACCTTCAAGACGTTTTACAAGAACCTCCTTATTACCTGCAACACTCAATCCTCTCAAGCGCAAGGCTTCTTTCAAGGCGGGTACTGTCATTGTACCTGGTTTTATTTTTGAACTTGTTAACCCAGCAAAATTGCAGAACTTTAAATGAGACGACAATAATACGTTATCAGCGAAACGGGTGTTGCACTGTTTGCAAACCACTGGTTTAAAAGCGAACAACAATGAGTGTGTCAGTTCTCTCTTGTTTGCAGAGGTCACAACCTCAATGCTAGACAGACAGACATCACAACTGAGCTCATCTCTGTCTTTATCTCTACCACATTTACAAAACTTTGAATGGTTACAATGGGGTGGGGAGCGAGACTGGTAGTGTGAAGTATAAGAGGAGGGCATGGGCTGATGTTCTGGCAGATAAAAGGAGCGAACATAGTTACTTCTCATAACTTGCCACCACTTACCAATGGGGGTTATTGCAGTTGACCTGTTAGTTAAAGTCAAATCATCTTTCACACCAGAATGTTTGGCCTCTTTAGCCTGCAATGAGACAATGCCATAACCAACCTTATACAATTTAAACAACAAATTTGCATGATAGGGAATAGCATATCCCACTGTCCACGTTGTGACATTCACACTGGAAGGAAAAAACAAAGAGATGAGATTGAAATACATTTCGCACACTTCCTTCAGTTCTGCAACTTGAGCAGAATTAGTCTCAATTCTGTTAAAAAGTCCCCCTGCATTTCTCAAATACTCACCTATTTTTCCAAGAGCCAGCCGTTTGGCTTTCTGTGCCTCTGTTTCATTTTCACATTTTAAAGTGTCAACAAGACGGTAGGAATATCTTGCCAAGGCAATTGCTTGATTGCCTATCAGTCTCACTGGCAACTTGTTATGTCTGTTCGATTCATCGCTGTAGTGTTCCCTAACTCTTGAGGCAAGATACCCAAGCCCACATCCCCTCTTACCTGAAGCTTTCCTCACACTACCATTACCTGCCTTTTCAAGGTGTTGTCTCAGTTTCTCCTCAGATTGTTGTAAAAGGTCTTGCTGTCTAGCACGCTCACCAACACTCTCAAGGCTAGAAATCTTCACAAGTGACTTTTGCGGTTGTACTTCATCAATGTCATCTTCATCTCCTCTACCCAAGGGTGCTGCCAAAACAGAAACAAAAGGGTCAAATTTCTTTCGCATCACTGCTTCCAAGTAAAGAAGATCAATATAGTGCTGCCAAGCATTGATCTCACAATGCATTGGTTCTGGCCTCAGCCGGTCAGCAAACTGCCCAATCCTAGGGGGTCCTAGCTGTCGGATGCCATTCTCAGCCATGAACTGTAGCTTTCTAGCATGCCTGTTTTTTTCTGTCAAACTAGAAGGAAGAGAAGACATAAAATTTCTTACCTTTTCAACATGTGACTTTCTTTTCTCTAAAGTGAAGGGCTTCCAGGTGTCACTGTCACTGAAACCAATAGTTCCACCCATGGTGTACATGTTACCTTTATGCACATTGGCATAAGGGGAAGGATATGTAGCTGCTTGGTTGAGTTCATTGGCAGCCCAGCTCTGCCATGACATGTCTGCACCTGGCTGAAATTCTACAGTACAATCCTTATTGCATACAGTTAAAATGTTACCTTCTAAAATCTTCATCTCCTCAGTGTGTTGCTCCCAGAGGTCATGCATAAGCCGATCTTTTTCCTGAACACTAACACAGTGGAGAAGGTACTGAAAGTCCCTGCTCCGCACCTGATCTCCAAAGTTCCAGCACACCATACTTCCAATAGACATTGTTAACTCGCTTGTTTCTGGAGCTCCATCATCAGAGAACTGAAAAATAAAATGATTTTCATTTTCACTGAACCACACTAGTTTTTGTGAAAGATGGGGAACTCGTAAGTGTAAATCAATAATCATAAAAACCAAGCCTGTCACCGTGCGAGAAACACCCGATACTCCTGGTAACTGTGTGACGTGACCAATGTCCAAACTTTTAACAAACCTGTCAACACTTTCATCAGATACACTTAGTTTCGGTAACCTCAGGTCAACCCCAAGACATTTCATGTTACGTGGCAGCCAGACCTCTTTATCTGCACTAAAAAATGAATTTTGTGTTTTACATACAAGATTATACTTTCTTCTGGATAAAAAACTCTGGTATTTCAGTGCTAATGATTGTTTAATTGCATCCTCTGATTTGTGATAATCACTAACAGCTTTCCCAAAAATACCCTGAAGAAATTTACCCCTTTTGTACGTACTGATTAATTTGCTCATAATTTCATTACTTGCATTGGCAGATAAAAAATCCCATGCTCCATACAATGATGGTTCAGTACCCCCATGAATAAATTCTAGTATGTTTTTGGACTCCTCCCTTCTTCTATATCTAGTGCTGGACTTATAATCATTAATCATTTCAAATGAAGTGCTTGCAAAGCCCCTTCGTCTTCTGGAATAACCCTTTTGTTCCAAAAGCTTCCTGACTTTCTCATAAGCCTCTGTGAGTTCCTTGAGTCTTCCCTCCACTTCAGTAATTTCCTTGTCAAGTTTTTCCTTCTCCTGTTTTGACTGTTGTACTGCATTTTCTGGAAAGCAAAAGCCTAGATCAGAGCCTTTACAGCAACAAGGAGTATCTCAATCATGACAAATCTCCCCGACTTAATCAACCTACAGTGATATATGTCACGCATACCATTGACTTATTTCACCGCAGATATTACATTATTGTCACCTTATTTCAGGTAGCATCTAAGCTTTATTTACCTGCGTCCTTAAAAAGAGCTTCTGTTTGCCTCTGTAAGGCTGAAACATCTTCCTCTTTCTTGGACAAAGCCTCCTCTTTAACTTGCAGGGCAGTGAAGCTTTCTTCAAGGATTTGCCTAGGCTCGGTTACCAGCCGCTGTCCCTCTTTATAAATCGCATACAAAGGAGATCTCTTCCAGAATGCATTAACTTCACGGCCTCTGGAGTCACATTTACCTTGATGACCTTTCTTTTTACTACATTTTCGGCTCTTTCCGCAAGATATTGGGGCACCTTCAGGGCTACAGGTAAACAGAACACTCGATATTCAGTCTCAGGAATTCAAGATGGCGACCAGAACGGACCGTGGTAAAAAATCGTGTTTACAGTGCGTTTTCTTACCTTGATTCGTCTGATTCTTCAGATGAAAAAGACGCCATAAGAGTCGAAGTTCATTTTCAACTTAGTGTTTTGTGGCATTCGGAGTGATCTAGGCTGCCAAATGGTCAAAATCCTACCTTGTAGGTTGGGAAAACCGCTATTTTCGTCAATTATTCTAATGTTTTCTTCTATACAGTAGGACTCCCTAAGTAAAAAATTGTTCCTATAGTGCCAGGTCTCCAGAAATGCCGAAATTTGCTCGGTCCGATTGACCGCTGGGCTTCGTAAACCGAATGTTTGCTCGTAGAGTACCACTTTTCAGCGAGCCGTTCCGTAGAAACTTGACAAAAAGGCTTTGATTTTCCCAGCAGGATCGAAAAAGAATGGTCAGGTTTAGTATTTAATGCAAAAATATGCTTCCTAAAGCTTTTATTTAGCCTTTAAAAGGCGAACAAAATGAGCCCTTGGCGTAAACGCAGTCGCTGTCTCAAAGCAGGCATCGCGTCGTCACGTGACCCCTAGGGTTAGCAACGGGACTATTTCTCATAGCAACCGACCAACGTGTTTGTAAGAAAACTGAAAATGGAATTATAGTTGTATGTGTTTTTGAGTGAGATTTATCATAAAGAAAGTAGTTTGATGTTCTAATATCAGCAAAAAGTAAGTAGTTTGATGTTCTAATATCAGCAAAAATAACAGTTACATTTGTTCTTTCCATGTCCTCTATTGCCTATTAGAGTTCCGTTAACAACTTTGTTATATTGCTAATTGTTGTATAATTTTCTAGTGCACCTACATGTATTGCATGTTGTTATAGTTCTGATGACCATTGAATAATAATGTGCATAGCCTACTGAAACTACATTTCAGTATGTACGCTTTTATGATTATTTTTGAAACTGAAAACAGGATCAATTTGTCCTCTCACAACAAAGGGCAGATAAATAATCCAATCAGCTTCTTGTTTAAAAAACGAATCACTAGCTGATTCTGGATGCTACATGAAAAGAACAGACAAAGTTTAGTCTACAGCGCTAGCTCCCTTGGTGAGCCCTTTAGCTTGTTAAGAGCTATACTGTATACCCAAGCAACTGACGAAGGATCCAATATTTTGTTTGCGAAACCAGTCTTGCAGTCATAGCTACATGTAAGCAGAGTGTTCTGTTCTTCATAGCGGGGCTCCCTCGCGCGCGAAGCGCGCGTGGGACAGAGCCCCATACTCATAGAATATGGTAACCTCTTTTCGTTTGGTTGTCACGTGACTGACCGAGCGTACGTACGTACGTACGCGTCTACAGATTGTGCGGGTAGGGTAGGGGAGACTATCAAAAGCAAGTGAGGGGTGTCTCAGGTGTGTCTTGGCAAACCCATATTTTTTTACATTGGCCATTCACAATATGGTCAATTGACAGCTGTCAAAACAGGATAGCCACTGACCAGTATCACATTGCCATATCGGGGGCTCATGTGTCAACTCATCAAGGTGACGTGATTTATTTGGAAGCTGTCCGCTGAAAAGTTGTTTTACTAGCTCGCAATCAATGTTCAATCTCATACTTTCTAGCTAAATTGAGAGCACAGGAAAACTCATAATGCACACGTCCATTGGACATCAATGTTGTGATCAACTGACAGCTGTCAAAACAGGGTATCCGCTGACCAGTATCACTTGACCGTATCGCGGGCTCAGGTGTGGACCCATCGAGGTCGAGTATTTTTTGAAGTTATCTGCTGACAAGTTACTAGTTTTCAAATGATCGCAGGCTCAAGTTTGATTGTTTTTTAATTCATATGAAATATGTTTTGTTTTTGTGCCGCACAATTAAAATTTTGATTTAAAACTGACCTCGGACGCGAAAATTCAGCCAGCTATTACAGGCAGGGAAGGCACTTGTTTTTGACTTTGATCACCATGGTCACGCGTTGGTCACGCTCTACGTCCAATTTTTACGCTCTGATTGGTCAAAATTTGACAGGTGAGCTCATGCGGAAAATTTATGCAGCATCTTGAATCTTGTTTACTTTGACAGCTGAAGTTGAGAGAGTTTTGTGTCAACTTGTGATGTTTTTAACTGACTTTTTCCACTGGATGCACAAAATGAAATTCAGCTGCTATCAGGGGTCTGCTGTTATTCATGGCTAGTTGGTTTTTGGTTGAGAAAATAATACATTACTTGTCAAAGTCGGAAATCCGATTTCGGATGGCATCGATTTCCCTTTTCACCTTGCTTGATGCGTATAAAGGGTTGAAAAGTCTGAAGCGATACTGGCCTTCCTTGATACCTTTCAGGAGCTGCATCTCGAATGGTAAGCCTCAGTAATTATTGTGTTTGATGTTTGTTTTTTACATCCAATTTAATGAAGTCGAGCGCAGTTTATGCGGCTATGTAGTTTATGCACGTTTGTAAGATTTGAGACAATTTGATATGATCAAGAATCAGGTTTGATATAAGCTTACAGAACTTTAAAAAGCCTTTAGACATTTTCTCACCGCAAATAGAAAGAAAACGTTCCAAAGAACATTTAGTTATAATTCTGGCTGTAAAAGAAAGCTTTGAGCGATTTTCTTGCCTCGAGTTCATCTTTGAAAAAAGTAAATACCGGGAAGCCGGCTTAAAACATAAACTTAAGCTTTAAGCTTGAAGACTCAGGAATTTTAGAGACACTTTAATACTTGTCTTCGTCAATGAAAAATGTTGTCTCTGTATATCTTTCACCGAATTATATTTCTTTTATTGATTGTCGGTAGTCTCTCTTGTAATTTTAATCGCCGTGCCGTTTGTTTTCAGTTGTTCAGTGAACATCGCTTGCAGGAGTACTCACCTGCTCACAGTGCTGCGGGTATCATGCAAACCGGCGCTTTTAAGGTGGCTCGACTGGATTTTTTGGGGTTGATACCTCCCAAGTTTGAGCTTGAATACAATGCCAGTGAATAATGAGGACGCTCGCTTGTAAACACAAAATCTGGGGGGAAAATTGGCTATATTTGAGGCCCTATTTAAAAGCCTTCCCTGTTTTCAATGTTCTTAAAACTTGCAGGGAATATTTCTTGACGATTGATCTCGGGATTGTCGAATTTATAAAAAAATTTATCGAGCGGTTTTTGGAAAAATGCGAAATTTTTAGGCATGGACCAAATTTCCTCCAAAAACTGTATCAAAAGTAGCTGAATGCAAGTTAATAAAATCCTTCTTACTTGCGATCGCGCAGAGCAATTCCCCTCTTTTTTTTGTATGCAGTTTTCAATGGAATCAAACCACTATGAGAACAAGCCGCGTTCCTAAAGCTTATCATTTTCTTAAAATATTAGCGAATTGTGCGGCTAGTATGCTATTTCACTGTTTTTATGATTCTTAAAACTGCATTTCAAAATATTTCGAAAACCCTCTCACAGAATTTCTTTAAACCTTGCCATAATGGAGGCAATTATGGCAGGTACATACTTCCTTAAGCGATTTCGTCAAAAAACTCCTGGTACAGAGAAACACAAAGATAAATGAAAAACGTAATGGCGTCATTACGTTGCCATGGCGACTCCGATTGCAATAAAACCAAGGTCATAAGAAATTTTCATCTTTATATAACACAGTTGTGGTAACTTTTTTCCATGTCTTTACTCATGCTGACGTAGTTAATGCTCAAAGTTGGGAGGTATCAACCCCAAAAAATCCAGTCGAGCCACCTTAAATATTACACATGGATAAAACCATTTAATAAAACTGAATAAACATAATAATTTTTTTTTATGTTGTAGCTTAACTCTAGTATGTTCGTTCAAATACTCGCTACAGTTCGCACTGCAAAAGTGAGAACCGGCTGGCCGTATATGATTTTGGAAATTTTTTTAACAGTTTAAAAAGCCCCACGCGTGCTTCGATCGTCCTGAATATTGAATGAGTGCAATTTGTGTTGCAAAATTGTAAAATACTGCATTCTGTCCGAGGTCTGTATGATAAAAACAGTACCTCATAGTACTGTTTCACCTCAGATGTGATGTATAAATGGTATAAAAGGTTGGTTTACACGCACCCGGATTTGTTGGCAAGATTTTGTAAAAGTAAACTTGTCGAAGGCAAAAAAATTCGGCCTGATTTTTTTTCCAGGCCTAATTAATCTTACGGTGATCAAGAGCCATTATGGCTCCTAAATGTGATCGAAGATGATTGCTATTTTTTGGGTGTACATATGAGGCTATCAACTTGATGTAAGATTTTGTTCACTCTTGGGCTGTTTGCAAATTATTTTTCTCTAAAATCACTTAGCCTTTCCCTCAAAAGCCACATAAATGTGCTATGTGCTCTAAAGTTAACTGAATTGTGGAATACAAGTTTATTGTTTGATTTAAATGATGAATATATTAATGGGAGCCTCGCTTTTAGCCCTGGCTAAATCTATATATTAGAACTTAACCATGACACACTTACAATATGGTACCAAATAGATCAGTGTCATTTTGCCTACACAGTGGAAAGTGTGGTTCTGTCCTTAAATTAAAATTTGACTCAAACAAGCATATTCTCAACCAGCTACCGATTGCAGATTAATGGAAGGAAAGCTTTCCATAGGACTTTTAAGTCCCAGTTCGATATCCCTTAATGACAACGCAATGGTAAGAAATTTCTGTCTTAAGAAATTCCAGTCTTTGAAGCTTTTCAAAGATTTGCCGCCAACTTGAAGGGAATCTTATGATCATCTTTGATTATAAAACCACGCTAAACCTCTTGTCAAGCATATCATCAGTTCTGATTACACATACTGAGCCAATAAAATAAACGCTACTGATCATTTTCACGCCTTCTTACCTGCGAAAGTTGAAGCTGAGGACTTGTAGCATTTATTATAACCCTGATGTGGTGCAGGGAGTCTATCTTTGTCGAGAAAAGTACTATTGATTTTCCTAATTTTCTCCTATTTTTTAATTCAAAGTTTCCTATTTTTCCTATTTTCTCAATCCTGAGTTTCCTATTTTACTATTTACTTGAGCAACCATGCCGCTGGACAACCTGCTCAAACGGAACAGGCGCAACTATGAAATTTTTTACGCAAGGCGAAGTTAAAAATTAAAACAACAGCGACAACAAATTTCAGCTTTCTGCACTGTTTGGGATAAATTGACGTGCACTCAGACAATGAGCGTGCTGAAATATGGGTACAGTAGCATTCCAATCATTCCACAGTTACATAGTGAGCAAAATCAAAACTACGACGCACGATAATCCAAAATCTAATTATTATGCTACAAAGGCTGAATGGATAGACAGTAAAACTAGTATTGACCAATAACCCACAAAAACATTTTACGTCAGGCTATGAAATAGCGATCAAGCCATGCAACGTGAACAAAACTTGAAATGGCAAAACTGTGGTTAAAACTAGCGAAAATACAAAACAAAATCTTTAACTTAAATTTACTGAACCTTAGAAAAGAGTAAAAATCACTTACATAACAGTCCCTCTTTACCGATCCTCCAGAACTTTCAGTATTCTTACTTCTGACTTAACTGACACTCCTGATGAGTACAGTAGCAAGACAAAGGCCAACTAACTAAAATGCGGTTTCGGGTAAGACTATAACTTTTTTGGAATCACGTGTAAATTATCAGCCTAGCGGAAATAGATAAGATCAAACTTAATATTAAATCGGGTTCGGAAGGAGGCAATCAAAGCCGTTACAAATGAATGCTATCGGTATTAAATATCTGTACACTCTTACAAAACACAGTGATCACATAATTTTCTTCTGAGAAATGGAAAATAATCTCAGATTAATTAAATTATTTCAAAATGAACAAGGAACATTTTTTAACAAGGTAAAGCAACCGATTACAGCATCTCCCACACTTACTACCTACCAACTCTTATCTCAGCTCCATCCAATCTGTCTGCCAATCGGTATCTGTTGACTATATTCACTTCAACTACAGGCTCTACTCGCTCCAGGTCTACTCGCCACCAAGCATTGTTGTCTGCACGAGTGTGTGTACACTTGTTGATGTATGGACTCCTATTTCCATCCACTGCATTACTAGCAGAACCACTGTACGTACTTGACTCACTTGTTGGCTTGAAAAGGGCAATATTACTCTGAACTAAAAACCAAACAAATAATAAAAATTATGGATAAACGAAGCAGGCTTGCAGGCTGTGCTTTCCCCAGATCCTGGAGACAACTACAATCATGGACAAAAGTCCATGGGACAATCAGAACGTAACTTCAATTCTATGCGTTTCACAAGTTCTGTCGCAAAAAGCAGTGCTGTGTTTTTACAAATCCATGTCCCCTCCCCTCTCCTCACCCAATACAATGTTGAAAGATCAAAGGAATTGTGCCTTGACGGTTTCAACACTGTCTGTTGGGGTGGGGGGAGTGGGTAGGGACGTACAGTGCTAGTAGCGCGCGAATACAATTTCGCGTGTGTTAAAAAGCGTTCGAATTGTACAACTGTCCCAAGACTTTTGTCCATGATTGTAGGTCTTTACTTCTGTTCTTGGGTGACTAGAAAATCTCAGCTACAGAGCATTGGGCTTCATAGAATTATTCTTAGAGTACAGCCTTAAACAAAGGAAATCAAGTACTGAAGGTTCATCTGAATCAACTTGTTAATGTTCAAAGTACATGTACAGCTATACATACATAAAAATATGGTCATGGCAAGTGTTTTTTTTTTTTTTTTTTTTTAGATTACTTGTTTAGTAAAAGGCTAAAAACAAAGATACAAAAGATACACACACAAGCAACATGCATACCTACAAAATAAACAGGAGGAAAGATTAACACTCTTACTTAATGAATAAACTTCAACCTCGCAGAGAGTCAACATTTTGTTATTGCCAGGTATTCTGATGTACAAATATCTGCCATATGCTTCGGGACGACAGACATATGTCTTGGAACTTGCTGTTGGGATTTGTATGTTATCTGCACAAAGATGGTTGTTCGCTCCCCCATTTGCTGTTTGATTTCCTTGCAAAGTGAATAAAAGAAAATGTGTAGTTCCAGAAAATATCCCGCATACGTCCCCCCCCCCCCCCCCCACGGAGGGCAACGGTAATTCCGAGGGAAGGGGGGTCCAAAAGAAGGCAATTTCCGGGGGGTGTGGGCTGCTTACAGAGTTTTTTTCCAGGGTTCTGAGTAAGATTGGTGAGTTATTAATGAATAACAGCTTCTCTGTTGAGCAAGCTATAATAAGTTATTTGACTGTTACCGGTGTTGCATTGATCATCTTTTATCTACCGTCGGCTAAATGCTTTTTTCACAGCTAATGCGACAGTTTTCATTGATACAATGTCATCGGCTCATGAATAAACTTCTGGTTATCTAGCTGTTTAGTGGCTGTTGCTTTATTACCCATCTGATTCACCGTAATTTGATCATGTTCTAAGCCTTCTTGTAACATGTTCTTACTGATGAGGCAATTAAATTTCACGCGGTGTTTAGTTTGAATGTAATGGGTTCTTTTGCAGATGACATTATTTGTGTAGTCAGTAGTGTAAGGCCGATCGCCTCTATGGTTACTTATTAGAAAGTCCTTGAGATAATTAGACACCCTGTTAACATAAAGGAAAAGATTTTTTATCTCATTTTATCGCAGAAAAAATTATCTTTTACACAATAATAATAAAGTGCAACAACATTTTTGACACAAATATTCTTTCCAGGGGGTACCCAATCAAGTTGAATAATAACGGAAATTACAGGGGACGGGGGGTATGACGAGTACCTGCTGGAATGGAAATTCCAGGGAGTGGGGCTTTAAGCAAAAGTGCCCTCCGTGGGTGGGGTGTATTATTTTCTGGAACTACAAAATATGCAGTATTTGAACACAATCATGTATAATAATAGTTGAAAAGGTAACAAAGAAACAATCTTGGCATTCTCTTCAAGATCAGGGGAGTGCTGCAATCTCACTTGCAAAACCTTTACATTGGCATATATACTGGCTCACTCAAATAGAATCTGTGGGAATTTGAATTTACATGAATGTGTTAAACTATGTAGGAAGAAAATGCTATTGATACACTTTTACAAATACAGAGGTCGATTTTACATACTTTTCTTCTGAGAAATCTTAAAAGGCAGTGCAACTGATTACAGCCAATGATCTCCCACACTTACTACCTACCCACTCTCATCTCAGCTCCGTTTAACCTGTCCCCACAGCAGTCTCCTCTGTTAAGTATATTTACTTCAGCTACAGGCTCTACTCGCCCCAGGTCTACTCTCCACCAAGGATCGCTTTCTTGGTTAGTGTGTGCACACTTTTTGTAGTGTAAATCCTTTTCTCCATCCACCGCATTGCTAGCATAGTAAACATTTAGTGTACTTGACTGATTTGTTGGCTTGAAAAGGGCAATATTACTCCGAACTGAAAACCAAACAAAAAATAAAAATTACAGATAAACACAGCAGGGATGCAGGCTGTGCTCTCGGCCCCAGCTCCTTTAGACCACTGCAGGGTACCCTGTAGGGTACCCTGCGTTTCACAAGTACAGAGCATTGGGCTCCTTATAATTTTTCTTAGAGTACAGCCTTAAAAATAGGAAAATCAAGTATTGAAGGCCTTTCAGAATCAACTTGTTATGGTTCAAAGTACATGTAGAGCTGTATATGTAGTGTGCCTGCAGTGCAGCATGAAAAAATGGTCTTGGCAAGTATTTGATCGGTAACTGTTCAAAATCTCAACCTCTTAATTGTGACCGGTTGGTCGCAAACTAGCCTCCAAATACACTAGCCATCTCTCTTAATTCCTCGCCACTAAAGACCTAATTATTATACAGGAAAGACATCTGCAAAATGGCCTCCAAAATTCCACATTGATGACATGAATCAATGTTTACATAATTAATCTGGTAGTCATGGGGTTCTAGATATAAAATTTTTTGAGTTAAAGTCCCTCCTGGTTTATTATTGAGAAGTTTTGAGTTCTTCTGCAAGCCAGCAGCAGCAAAACTCAAATTCGTCTTGTAAAGAAGGTTATATTCCATGAATAATGACTTTTTTAGTTGATTCATGACATTTACTGTACATCTTTGTGACTTTTTGTCTTTTTTCTATCATTCGTAAACAATAACTAAAAGAAAAAATTGACAACTTTGACCAATTCCTGTTCGTTGACTAGATTCCAAGCAAATCTACATACGATCAGCAATATAAAATCTTTAGGGCTAAATTGCAGACCTCTTTCCTGTGAAATGTCGTACAGTGAAGTACTTGCAAAGACTGTATTTTAACAAGATTTTTAAAAAGAATGAAAAAGATAATGGTTCAAGAGCTGATGCTGTCGCAAAAAGGAAAAAGATCTTTTCAATGATGCGAAGGAAGGTTCCACGTTACTGGATAAAAACTATATTCCTTAAAACCTGAACAATTTCTACAATATATCAAACCTCTTCTTCTAGGTACGCCAGAAACTTCTACTCGTAAACATGCTCCACCGTGTTTGGACCCAACAACAAAACGCAAATATCTGGCAACAAATGCACTGAACAAGATCTGTTTTTCTACTGTGTTCTGATCGAAGTTTCCATTGAAGGTCTGGAAAAAAAATCAAAAACAAAAAAAGGCTTATCATTTAGATGGTAATTCTTAAAGTAGTAAGGATAGAGTTCAGTGTATTAAACCCAGGGCTGTCACTAAGATTTCAAGTTGCAAATGCAAATTATAGGTTATGATTTGAACAGCTAGGAAATTCTATTGGTTCAGTCTGCTTTCCTTTTGTTTCCTATGAAAGTAACAAGGGGTCATACTGGTATGTAGTAGGACATAGTTAAGAAATTCCTGGTCCCTGGCTCTTAGTGACTTTCCTGTGAACCCAATGGGGTATCAACCTCTCACTCCCCACTGCCCGCTTCTGGATTCAATTAGCTTCACCCGGCATGGCATTTCTCCCTTAGATAACTACCTTTGCTCCTTTTCACGCTTGTCATTCTTCCACCTCAATATATAAGTGCGATGAAGGTAACCTTTGAACAGAGGGTAGAAGCAATTTACACTCCTAGGTGCTTCATGCAGCACAAAATGGGTTAAGCTCTGGAAGTTTAGGTACCCCAACCCCCCCCCCCCCTTTTTCCCCACATCATCCCCACCCCTATTCCTTCATCTTGCCCCCCCTAAAAACACCTAAACACCTGTAATAGTTGTATAAAAGTTCTACTGAACAATAAAAGGGTAACCAATTTACGACCCAAGGCTAGGGTTGCTTTAACCAAGGAACCCAAATGAAATCTTGATATTAATTTATACCCTCTATGAAGCTCAGAACCCCCAGTGGTCTCACAAGGAGGTAACTTAGTTACATGTAATTTACTTGATGAATATGAAAGCTGAAAAGTTTTAGTAATTTTAGAGCAAGTTTTTCAATTGTAGATCATTTGTCTATTGCTTTAAACCATTTGTGTGGGTGAATCTTCTTGGATTTTTTTTCTTTTAATATAGTTTTTTATTTCAATTTCTAACAACACTTGCACAACAAAAGTTGCCTTTAAATATACTAAAAATATATAAACAATAAGGAACAAAAAATAAATTACGATACTTTACAACAAATTACGGTATTTTGTAATGCAGTCTTGCTACAAAAGTACAGTGAAATGCAAGTCTAATGTTATATAACCTTACTTTTCCATTTATTATAGTAATATTCGCGTGAATTAATACTGGTGTTATTGCTGTTGGTTTTTCTATCTCTGCTTTGGTTACCACTATAGTTAGACTAGAGATAATCATTGGTTATGGATCCGCGTTCGTCACTTACCGAAATGAAATCGAGTCGAACGGAGTCCAGTTTCCCGGCCGAGATGCCCCTGATAAAACTAACAGAGGCGGCTAATTTGCAGTCGCCCGTGATAGCTTTTGTGCATGGTTTAATTAGCACAACAACAACTTCGCACGTGCATCACACTTTTTTGTACATTTCTTTTCCCTTTTTGCACGATTACGACGTGAAAATGTCTAATTTCTCGTTTTACGGAGGTCGTAAACAAGCAACGACGAAATTTTATTTCTCTTTCTGAGCTTGAATTTGGTCCCTTGAAATTCAGCTTAAGGAGGGTTCGCCTACAATTGACAAAGTAAGTGGATAGGAATAATCGGTATAAAGACTGAAAGAACGCAAATTCACTTTTTAAGCGACGTTCTTGTCGCCGTTGCGTCGTCGGATCTTAAAGTCCCTAATAACTAGAGGTAATCATTGATTACGGATCCGCGTTCGTCAATCGAGTGGAACTGGCAAAGCATACCGCCTTTGTACACGGACAAACTTACATAAAGTAATAAAAGTAGAAAACAACAAAACCAGAAACAAAAACATCTATTTTGTAAAACTTTCCTGGTTTTAGCTGTTGTCAGCTATTGTAGGTGTGCAGAATCAACTCTAACTTAAAAAAAATAAACCTCGCGTGGGAATAAACTTTCAGTCAAAGGCTCCTTTTACCTATACCCACAGAGAATGCGTCAAGTGGTCGCTTACATAGAGGATATTACACGGTGGCGCGAAGATATGAATTTTATTTTCGAGTGGCAAAACAATATATATATATAGACAAAAAGACATCGATAAAATAATAGAGGGAAATCACCGAAATTACGACATAGATAAACTCACGTGTGAGATTATGGAAAATAAACCACTCGGGTCCCGGATGTAGTTTTTATGAATTTTACGAGTGGTATATTTTCCACTGAAACACTCGTGTCTATATAATAAAAGAGGTCAAACATAATAGAAAATCTTTAAACTTTCAGGCCCAGAGAGTGGTCGCGGTCGCTTTAAGGAGGTGGTCGTTTTCTAGAAGGTCCAACTGTAGGGCTTTGACGGGGAAAGTTTTAGTGTTTAGGATGGGGAGTCGCTTATGGCGTGGGAGATGGTCGCTTACGAGAGGTGGTCGCACATGGAGGTTCAACTGTATATATTTTTCCGTCTCGCTTTTCATCTTCTTGAATTCTTCGTCTCGAAGTATTTTCTCATTAGCAATCTCGTCGAGGTACTTTAGGGTGGCAGGGTAAGCAATGAAAACCTTTCTTTCTTGCCCTAGCGTCTTCTATAGATTTTTTTTTTCTATTTGAAAAAACTCTCTACAAAAGCATTTTTCCTTTTTAAAATGATGGGCCAGGCCATTAATATATGCACCCTTTAACTTCAGCTACCTTAACTTGTCCATTTTCTTCATAATCTGTCCAAGTTGTCCCATCTGTAGATGACTGTAGGGTGTAAGACTCCACCCACTGACTCCCCTGGGAATTCCCCTGAGTGGATACAGCACAGATGATATGAGGAATCTGTAAGTCAATCTGTAGATGTGGACTGCTGTCACTTGTGGATGCACACCATGATGATCCCGCTACGAACTTCAGTCGCCCATTCTTTGCTGGGGTGCTGGCATTCAGTTCAGAAGAAGCAGTTAACTGATTGTCATGAATGTACCAGCTCACCCCTGCATCAACTTGTTCACATGATGCTAAACAAAAAAGGATAAAACATTGAAATTACTGGTTGCCTAGAATCCTTCCATCAGCTAGACCAATAGCATCTTGTTCACACGAATGTTAAAACATACAGTATTACACCCGCGTATAAGAACCTACTTTTTTTAAGTCTGGCAAACTAGGATTTGTATTTTGGGGTACTTATTGGCAATTTAGGCTACGTAGGTTCTTAAGTAGTTTCTTAATTTCTGTGAAAGAGATGTAGTTGTTGACTACAGAAAAAAACAAAGAAAATTGAGTTTCGTCCTTAAATGTACAGTATAGATTCACAATTTTACATTACAAAACTTGCATTTTTAATTGGTATAAGAATCATTATAGGTAGTAGAATACTACGCGCTATTATGCACTAATCCATTCTCTTCTTTTGTTTACTTATAGCTATTTTGCACTAGTTATTATTCTCTGTTTCACTGGTCAAGTAAAATCACTGTAAAATGCCAAATCTCTGCCAGGATGTTCTTAATCCACTAGGTTCTTATACGCGGGTGTTTACTGCATTGCCTAGTAATTCAAGTTTTCCCATGTAAATATAGTCTGTATGTTTTTCATGAAACTTCTGGATAATTCATAATTGGAAACAAATTTGATTTGGTGCTCCCCCGTTAGCGTTTACCTTCTAACCGGGCTTTTGAGACGGGTGTTTTTGGATCTTGTTCAGCCATTGGTTAACGCTCTCCGCTTTCCGTTGAAAAATTCCTTAACCGCTAAAGTTTTGCTTTGCCCAACTGTTCCACGCTTATCGTTATCTTTTTAAAGGGACATGGAATCCATTTAACAGCTTGTGTTGACCGTCTACTATTTCCGTGTCAGCAGTGTATACGTACCATCCGTGCGTTTAATACTGGTGACTGTTTTTCTTTCCAGGTCACATTTCTTAGTGGTCCCTTGGCTTTCCTTCGAAGATGTGCTTTTCTTTAATTTTTAAGTGCAAATAAAGTTACAGCATTGCCCGCTGTCTCATTCCGGCAATGCGTGAAAAATGAAAGTTATTCTTCCGCCATTGTGATGCGACCAAAAATGCGATCAAATGCGTTTGAACTGAAGAGCCATACCACACGAAATTGATCACGGTTCGGAAAGAAGTCGGTAGAGATGGGTGCACGGGGAGAATGGGAGGTTTATGGCTTTATAAAAAATATTCATGGCAAATTGGATGAAAATAAATACTTCGCTGTTTGACTTGCATGATGTCTAACTATGCTTCAGGTGGTAAACATATGCATGCAAAGCATCTATATGTTTTGGCTGTAAACTTACCAGATACCTTCCGTTGTCCCAAAAGACAAATTGCCATGAAGAAATATAAGATAATTTGCTTGTCATCCATGTTTTATCTTAACCAAAAAAACAGCAATACAAAGTACAATTTGCGCACTGCCTTTTTAAGATTTGCCCCCGACTAATGATTCGATTCAAGCCGATTTTTGACCTTTCTCGTATGGCGTGACACATCTTTTAAGGATGCAATACCCTTATATTTGACTTCCCTTTCAGTATCACTCCATCTTCGTTATCTATGTCTGTCGGATTTCAGCAGCAATCATTCATTGATCTACCCAGGCGTGTTGCCTGTCTCTTAGCAACGTGTCGGACGTAAGTTTGTTCACTTTCCATTCCCAAATTCGGTATCCCGACAGAACAAAATTTCATGCCATCTTTTCTTTGTTTCTTACAAAATCAAAAATGTTCAGCAAGTCGTGAGGCAGTAGTATCTATTAATTTCTCTGCAAATTCTGCGAATCAAAGTAATCAAATAAGAATGAACTGAATAAATAGAAAAAAGGCAAACACAGTGGAATAACATTTTGCCCTGATAGTTACAAAAATGAAAAAAAAAATCTTCATTTAGTTGATATTAAGGAGAAATAGTGTTTGATCATTTTTCAGGAAACTGATCAGTTGGTTGAAGATTTTATCTGGACTAGGGATTGTGGTATATGGTTTTGTTTTGGCTAGACTTTGCTGGTGACCTCAGAAGTTTCTGGAAAATAGTTACTCTAGGATAGAGGGGATTTGGGGAGTTTACTCTAGTATAGGGTAGCAAAATTCAGCTGAACTAGCTCTGGTATAGGTTAAGGGTTCCTGGCGTCCCAGCGGCACATCCCCACCCAGAAATTCCTAAAGTACCCCCCTCCCGGGTGATAGGCCATGCACCATTATAGAGGCCGGTGCTGTCGTCGTGACACTCTGAGAACCAGCGTGATGATTTTGGGCGTACGCTCCAGCAATTCTTTCTTTTTTTCTTTTTTTCAAGAGAATTGTTGACGGTTTATGTTTCCGACCCACCTGATCGTGACTCATACAAATAGTCTGATCTTACTGGACTGCATTAGCGGCTAAGCTCGTTGATTCAGTCGTCCCTTTAGGGAGTATGCGACTCGAGGGCCCGGCTGAAATTCAGGCTATGCCTATAGGGTATTGTAATTCAATATGTAAATGCTCATTCTTTGTGAAATAATGAAATAATCTTTATTTTGCTTTCTGCCATAAACGATAAAAGGAAAGGTTAATGGACCATGTAATTCTCAGTCAAAAGATCAAAGAGTGAAGAGACAAATTTTAAAATTAACGACAGAACCTACAGATGAACCTATCTTAGGAACGAGTGCCGAGGCAGATGCCTGAGGACGACGTAAGTTCATCATATTCCAAAAACTTCCTCAATTTTTCACTCATCATTCATTAGTTCTTTGACGGCGCTCTCCATTCCAAAATTGACTGCTATCTTGATCTTCTAGACTGTTGAACCAGGGCGTACGGTATTTTCCCTTTCTCTTTGAATGCTGGGTTTTTGCATTTTTTTTGGCAAAAAGCGCGGAAATTCAAAACCCGTGAAGTGTGACGTGCTTTGTGAAATCTCAGAGGGGAACAAATGACGTCACAAAATTGCTCGGATCACTGCTCTCAGTTTCGTCCCAAGTCCAATGGCGGAAGACGTGTCGTTTACAGTGATTCTTTGTTTCCGGGTGTTTTTTGGCCTTTTGCTCGTTCATTTCTCTACAGGTTAGTTTCAGTTCTACTAAACTATATGATATGCCAAAGTGTAGGTACCCTCGTTTGCAATCTATTGGTAAATAATTTATTTCACGCTTTCTTTCCGGGTAATTGACGTAGTTGTGGGTTGATTAAGCATCATGGAGTCCTTTACTATTTGTATCTCTTTTCTTGTCTTGGAGCTCCTTTCTTTTATCTTATAATGCATTTAAAACGGTGCATCAATGGACAAGATGACAAATGATTTGTCTTTTGTGCTCTTCCTTTGCTCTCCACAGCTACTTCGGCTTAGATATAAAGTTGCAAGAAAATAGAAATGTAAGCTGAAACCACGCTCGTGCAAATCAGCTTAATCAATATAAAAAATGTTTAAAATCTTCAAAGCTGTTAGCGTGGATGACATTAACTTTGGATATTGAGTTGGGTGACTTGATAAATAAATAATACTGTGCATAAATAATTCTTAATGTCTCCCATTGCGGACCATATTATTAATAGATAAATTAATTAGTCTTTTGTAGTTAAATTCTTCGTTTATTTTACCCATTGTGTAGCCCGCAATTAGCAAGCTTTCTGGGGCGCTCTGGTGGCAGGGTGGCAAAAGGAAGCAGAGAATGAATTCCTCCTCCAATTCTCCTGTGGCTCCCTGTCAGGGTGCAAATGTATTTAAACAAACATTGAAAAACTTGTGCCAAGGGAATTGATGTCATTATTAATGTCATCTCTGCTAACCAGCATTTCACATCGACTTCTTCAATGAAGGCGTGTGTAACCGAGCGGTTCACTCCTCGAACTCTGGACCTGGAGGTCCACGGTTCAAGCCTCGTCCATCGCGTTTTTTCCTTAGACAAGGAACTTTACCCCACTTCACCCAGGTGTATAAATGGATGCAATGGACTCAAGCATCCCATCCAGCGGGGAGTAGCAATACTCCTAGGCATGCTTCATGCTACAGAAACTGGTATAAGCTTTGGCCATTTGGGCCTTTGGCTTGTGTGCGCCTTTACCTACTGCAGATGTTTAAATTCCAGAGACATAGTTGTAAGCTGTCCTTCCTTTTCCCACCTCGCTGCCAGGGCGCCCTGGAGAGCTTGCTCGCAGGCTACCCATTGTCTCAAGTATGATAAATATCAAAAGGGTCTTTCTCTCTACCGTCTTCACAAAAGAAATAAACTAAGGAACCAAACAATCAAGTAGTCTCCTGAGGACTTAATTGTTTTGTTGTATAGTTTTTGTTGTTGTTTTACGTTTACAATCAGTGTGTCTGTAAAGTTACTTTTTAAGTTGTAAATTAATACAAAATACTTGGTCTACTTCCAGTACATTGCTGTATGTGCCTCAAAAACCCAAGAAACCCTGAGTTCTATTCAGATGCAAATAAGTGTCTGTTTCAGCATACTTAATGGAAGAACATATGAATATTTACATTCTTTATCACTGCTTTAAAATGCTGAACTGTGTGCCGAAGAATAGGCTAATAATTCCGAGTTGCATGAAACCTCCGTTTTGAAGTGAGGCTAAGCGCAAAGCCATTGATATGAAAATAAGTTTCATTTTCTTAAAAGAAAATAAGTTTCTTATAAGAAAATAAGTTTCATTTTCTTATAGAAAATGAAACTTATTAGTATCACAACAAAGGTTTTGTACTTTTAATACCCTCATTTTCAAAGTGAAGGTGAGTGGTTTTGGAACTTGGAAATACCCTATCTGGAAGGCTCCTCCCTTGGGAAAGGTTCAAACAATTCTCATTATTTTAATAATAAATAATTTGTGACCCTTTTTTAAAAGCAAAGTTCTTGAATAATTGGACATCCTGTTTGTACATGGAGGTTTTGTGGGCTGAAGGGAAATAATCGAATAAGAATAACACAATTTTTTTTCTATGGAATAAAGGAACCATTGAGGAAACAATCTGATAACAAATTACGTTTTCTGGAATAAGTAGATCGCTAAAATGGAATAATGATTTGTTTTAAGCCCCTTCCCACAAAGGGGTTGATTTCAGTGGGTTTTTATTGCCCAAGATCACAGCAAATAAATGTGATAAATTATCAAACCTTATAGTCATGATCTTATCCACTTCTGACTGACGATGACTATGACGATGATGATGATGATGATTTTATGATTTGACTTAACTCCTTCAGACATGTATAAGGGAGACTGATATCTTATTGACCTGGACTTGAACATTAAAACCAGTTCTGAGGATGTCAAGCTGGTTACACTGTCTTGTGGGTGCAATGGTATTAATCCGCAGTTCATTGTATCCCTTGGATATTTTAGCCATTTTTATTTTTAATGTACTGGTATTATTAATTAAAAATGTTTTCAAAAGAAACCATTAGTAGCATAATAAACATGAGTTCACATGGTCTGACAGGAGCATTTGCTAGAGTTCTACCTGTTGCAGTTATTGTTCGTGATTAGCTAGCTCATTTTTTTGGAGTTGTTTAATTAGATAAAATAAGTAGTTTTGTTTTCTTCCTTAACAGAGATGAGTTGAGGGGTATAGATAATAGGAAAAGTGGTGAGAAATACTAACAAATTTAGGAATGTTTTTATTTATCTACATTTCATCCTTTTTTGTTTAGCAACATGTGAACAATTTGATGTAGGAGTGAGCTGGTACATTCATGACAATCAGTTAACTGCTTCTTCTGAACTGAATGCCGGCACCCCAGCAAAGAATGGGCGACTGAACTTTGTAGCTGGATCATCATGGTGTGCATCCTCAAGTGACAGCAGTCCATATCTACAGATTGACTTACAGATTCCTCATATCATCTGTGCTGTATCCACTCAGGGGAATTCCCAGGGGAGTCAGTGGGTGGAGTCTTACACCCTACAGTCATCTACAGATGGGACAACTTGGACAGACTATAAAGAAAATGGACAAGTTAAGGTAGTTGAAGTTAAAAGGTGCATATATTAATGGTCTGTCACATCACTTTAAAAGCGTTTAGGGAAAAATGCTTTTTTGTGAGCTTTTTTGCAAAAAAAGATGATCTCTTCCTACCACCCTACTTAGGATAACACTGGTCTTGCTGCAAACACAGTTCTGATTGATAGTGGAATTATGTTGACTGGACCTTTCTTGCTTGCCAGGTTTAACCAATGGTAATCATCCTAAGATATAGCTTTCTTAATTTTACACCACAACTGTTGAGAAGCAGTTCTCCATTTTGAATTGTTCCCAATGTGCATTGCACCGCCGTTACTGATGACTCACGCAAGAAAGATGTTTTGCAGTTAACAACAGCAATCAGAATGTAGTTTTTTAGTGACAATTTTGCTGTTTAAACTGATGATGAGACCCAATTTCGCTGTTTAAACTGATGATGAGGCCCGAATTTCTTTATGAAAAGACAAGATCTGTAGTGAAAATTTCAAGTGAGTACAATTCTTTAGTTGGATCGAAGAGGAGTCTGGTGTTTTTGACACTTTAGTGCACACACATTGACCTTCTTCTGACATTTTAATAGACCACAAAGTTTTTTTGTAGATAATAGTACATACTGATGTTCTTTAATTTTAAAGTATGTTTAACAACATGTTTCACGAAAATGTTTCTGTACATTCAAAGAAATAAAAGTAGGTTCCCATCGATGGCAATTTGAAATCCTTGGGCTTGAACTTCCTGTGTAAATTTTAGCTTTCATGTTCATAAAGTAAATTAATTAAGTCCCCCCTCCCCGCCCCTCGTCAAACCATGGGAGGGGGATGGGGTTGGGGTCTGAGCTTTGCCGAGGGTAAATTAATATCATGATACTGATTTCATCTGGTTTCCTTGGTAATTCTGACACAGTACATCACCACGTGTAGGTCAAATGTTTATGTTAACTTAATCATCTAAGGTACATAAGGGGAGGGAGTTGGGGGGGGGTCAGGAGGAGGTAGCATGGCCTGTGGCTGTTGTCACTTCTTTCAGGACACCACTCAGAAACAATTTAGCATTGGTGTGCTTTTGTCTGCTTTGAATCGTAAAGTGTTATAGCAACCCTAGCTTTGAGTCATAAGGGCTGTACCCTTCCATTGTATAGTAGTGTTTTGGTATCAGTAATACCCCAGTTACAGGTCCTTTTAATAGGTGTTTTTAGGAAGGGCAAGATGAAAGAATAGGGGTGGGGATGATGTGGGGGATGGGGAATGGGAAGGGGGGATGGGGGTATGAGGTACTTAAACTCCCAGGGCTTAACCCGTTTTCTGCTGCATGAAGCACCCAGGAGTCTAGATTGCTTCTCCCCTGTGAGTGGAGTAAGTCTGTTCAAAGGTTACCTTCAGAAATTAATGTGTTGCACTTACATATTGAGGTGGAAGAATGACAAGGATGTTAAGTAACAACGTTGGTTATCTAAGAGAGTAATGCCAGAAGGGAGAAGTGGGGAGTGAGGGGGTGATACCCCATTAGGCTCACAGCAAAGTCACTTAAGGTCAGAGACCAGGAATTTAATTCCTAGCTATGTCCTACCGCCAGTATGACCCCTGGCTACTTTCATAGGAAACAAAAGGAAAGCAGACTGAACCAATAGAAATTCCTTGCTGTTCAAATCCTTACCTATGATTTGCATATATGTTACACATCAAATTTATTTTTAGGTTATGATTTTTTTTAACCTAGTTTGTTTTAAATTTTTTTTTTTTTTCAGACATTCAACGGAAACTTCAATCGGAACACAGTAGAAAAACAGATCTTGTTCAGTGCATTTGTTGCCAGATACTTGCGTTTTGTTGTTGGGTCCAAACATCGTGAAGCATGTTTACGAGTAGAAGTTTCTGGCGTACTTAGAAGGAGAGGTTTGATATATTGCAGAAATTGTTCAGTTTTTAAGGAATATAGTTTTTTCCCCAGTTGTGGAACCTTCCTTCGCATCATTGAGACGATCCTTTTTCTTTTTGCGACAACATCAGCTCTTTCTTTCTTTTCAAAAATCTTGTTAACATACAGTCTTTGCAAGTAATGCAATGTATGCCGTAGTCTCTCCTCACTCCTTGCCACTAAAGACATTTCACAGGAAAGGGGTCTGCAATTTCACCCTAAAGATTCCATATTGCTGATCATATGTAGATTTGCTTGGAATCTAGTCAACCAACAGGAATTGGTCAAAGTTGTCATTCTATTCTTTTATTTATTGTTTACGAATGACAGAAAAAAGACAAAAGGTCACAAAGATGAACAGTACAGTAAATGCCACGAATCAACTAAAAAAGTCATTATTCATGGAATATAACCTTCTTTACAAGAAGAAGTTGAGTTTTGCTGCTGCTGGCTTGCAGAAGAATTCAAAACTTTTCAATAATAGACCAGGAGAGACTTTAACTCAAACAATTTTATATCTAGAACCCCATGACTACCAGATTAATTTATAAACATTGATTCATGTCATCAAAAAATTATGTGGAATTTTGGGGGCCAGTTTGCAGATGACTTTCCTGTATGGGTCTTTAGTGGCGAAAAATTAAGAGAGATGGTTATTGTATTTGCAGGCTAGTTTGTGACCAACCTGTCAAAATTAAGAGGTTGAGATTTTGAACAGTTACCGATCAATACTTGCCAAGACCATTTTTTCATGCTGCACTGCAGACACACTACAAATACAGCTGTACATGTACTTTGAACATTAACAAGTTGATTCTGAAAGGCCTTCAATACTTGATTTTCCTCTGTTTAAGGCTGTGCTGTAAGAAAAATTCTAAGGTTCCCAATGCTCTGTAGCTGTGAATCCCAGGGTACCCAGCATATGATTTCCATGCAAAAGCTGAAATTCTCTAGTCGCCCAAAAGCAGAATTAAGGACCCTGATATGGTCTCCAGGAGCTGGGGCCGAGAGCACAGCCTGCAACCCTGCTGCGTTTATCTGTAATTTTTATTATTTTTATTTTTAGTTCAGAGTAATATTGCCCTTTTCAAGCCAACAAGCCAGTCAAGTACATGGAGTGGTTCGAACCCTGCTAGTAATGCAGTGGATGGAAATAGGAGTCCATACATCAACAAGTGTACACACACTAAGTTAGAGAACAATCCTTGGTGGCGAGTAGACCTAGGGCGAGTAGAGCCTGTAGCTGAAGTGAATATAGTCAACAGAGCCAGATTGCCATACAGATTGGATGGAGCTGAGATAAGAGTGGGTAGGTAGTAATTTTGGGAGATGCTGTAATCAGTTGTTTTGCCTTGTTCAAAAGTGTTCCTTGTTCATTTTGAAATAATTTAATTAATCTGAGATTATTTTCCATTTCTCAGAAGAAAATTATGTGATCACTGTGTTGTGTAAAAGTGTACATGTATTTAGTATCAATAGCATTCATTTGTAACGGCTTTGATTGCTTTCTTCCGAACCGGATTTAATCTTTTCCGTGCGGCTGATAATTTAGACGTGATTCCAAAATAGTTATAGTCTTACCCGAAACCGCGTTTTAGTTAGTTGGCCTTTGTCTTGCTACTGCACTCATCAGGAGTGTCAGTTAAGTCAGAAGTAAGAATACTGAAATTTCTGGAGGATCGGTAAAGCGGGACTGTTATGTAAGTGATTTTTACTTTTTTCTAAGGTTCAGTAAATTTAAGTTTAAGATTTTGTTTTGTATTTTCGCTAGTTTTAACCGCAGTTTTTCCAATTCAAGTTTTGTTCACGTTGCATGGCTTGATCGCTATTTCATAGCCTGACATAATATGTTTTTGTGGGTTATTGGTCAATCCTAGTTTTACTGTCTATCCATTCGCCTTTGTAGCATAATTAGAATTTGGATTATCGTGCGTCGTAGTTTTGATTTTGCTCACTGTTTAGCTGTGGAATGATTGGAATGCTACTGTACCCATATTTCAGCACGCTCATTGGCTGAGTGACGTCAATTTATCCCAAACAGTGCAGAAAGTTGAAATTTTTGTTGTTGTTGTTGTTGTTTTAATTTTTAACTTTGCGGCCACGGTTTTAGCGAAAACCGTGGCCCCAAAGTTTTGTCACGCCTTGCGTAAAAAATTTCACAGCTGCGCCTGTTCCTTTTCGTAAATCCGGCCAAAGCTTCAATGTTTGCGACTATCATCATTTTTAGTCATATTATGGCTTAAATACAGGCGTTTAGTATTTGATTGTAAAACTCCCTGAAGACGTCTACGTTAGTTAGACGAAACGCGTAGGAGAATAAACAAGTTTTACAGCAACAGTTCGCAGAGTGCTGCTCACTAGTTTAGTTTTAAAATTTTTTAAAAATTAAAAAAAATATATAAAATTTTTTAAAAATTGCAAAAAAATTAAATTAAATTGATTGTCAGCCTCAGGTGAGTTAAAGGTCTGTCAGTAGAATAATCGACAACTTCTTTATGTAATTTGTCTGTTCGGTAAGGATGAAGAATGTGCAAACAGACGTAAATCACAAGCCATGTAACCATGAAGCCATTCTGATTTCTGCAGCTTCTTTCACGCGGCATTTTGATCCACACTCCAAGAAAGAAACCACAAAAAAACAAAATCCAAATAACAAATTGCAAAATTCTTGACTGACAATCAAACATGAAAAATGTCTTGAAACAAAAACACTACGTTTTCTTTACAACTCCTTTTTTATTTACAGTCACTGTTAAAAAAGCTTATGTATTTTCAACACGAGGCCATACATCGTCTCAAATTTATCTACCGAGTCACCGTAAGAAACTTTAAATAGTTATGCACGCCGTTAAACGAGACAAAAATATGTAATAACTCAAACTCACCTGAGATGCAACTCCTGAAAGCTAGTAAGTGAGGTTCGTATAGAAACGCTTTAGTTTTCTCTGTTATTCTGCTGTGAAAGCCTGCATGGAAGTTCTTACAAAAACAGCCATCGATAAAACCACAGTTGCGACACTTTCCTCAACCAAAACCCAAATAAACAAACCACAACATTGGCGGATCCAGAGGGGATCGTTGAGTTTGGGAAGTTTTTAAACTTGTCTGGTTACCCATGTCTCTCCCTTTTTCATACCAAAAATAATATTATAAGTTATAATTTAAGTTCCAGTCCAATCGGCCATTACAAGAAGACTGTTGCTATTCCTCTTCTTGAATTGATTCCTCACTTATCCAAATGCAAGATCGATTTTCTGACGAAGATCGCCACGCCCACCATCTGCTTTGTCTCGTGCCATCGAGTATAGTAAATAAGGCACTGCAGCTGGATCTGATAAAGTAAAAGGCGCGCTGTTCTGGGAGAAAGACATTCCGTTTCTGAAATCCCTTGGAAATGAGGTACGTCGATGGAAAACACTCTGGCAGTCAACAGATAGGGAGCTACCAAACAACCTTTTATTAGCACTTGACGAAGGTGCTTTTCCAAACATCTATCGCCTTCTGGTCGTTACCTGCCCCCTAACGATCACAAGCGGAGAAGCTGAGTTGTCGTTTTCACTGATGAAATGAATCAAGACCTGCTCTAGGTCAACAATGGAGCGATTCTCTGATCTCTGCAGTGATCGTCATGCACTACTCCGAGAGATTCGAGGTACAGTAGACGAGATATGCGAAGCCTTTGTAAAGGCTCATCCAAGAACGCTCTGTCTCTGTCTCTGAAAACTGTCCGATTTGACCTGTCCGATTACGGGAGCCTGTAATCGGACAGGTCAAATCGGACAGTTATAAAACCAATGAAAACCAAGTAGCGAATGCCACAAGCAATTGAAGTTTGACCACATAGCACACGATAACCAATCAAAATCAATGAAAAAATAGTGACCAGGTAAGCTGTCTAGCTTCAACTGGAAAAGAAAAATGGATGAAATTAACTCGTCCAGTGACTGTTATTCACATTAATAAATATTCCAAAACTGAGATTCTCGCATTTTGTTGCTGACAGAATTATTCGAAGACAGGATTTCGTGTCATACACCACTCAATCCTATTACCATTACTAATAGTGCCTCAAATTCCTCTGAAACATATTCAAACATAACCCTAACCTTCGTCACCCTTTTTCATTCCCACCCTTCCCCCTGCCCCATTCCTTGGCCCTGGGACGTTTAAAAAAATCCTGGATCCGCCCCTGCACAACAAAGGAATCTTGTTAGTAGATGTATTTATTTCCGTCGCGGCAGTGGCAAAACATAACGACTTCAAGATGCAAAATCACCCAAAATGACAAAAGGCTTCAGTTTTCTGTAAACTGTCAAAATTTTGACAGGCGAATGATTCGCCTGTCAAAATTTTGACCAATCTTGGTCGAGGTTGTCACTTGTAGGCGGGAAGAGGGAACTGTGACAAACGCTGCGAGGTGACATATTATTAACAAGTAATCACATGATTTTTCTCGTGCACTTTGGGCTAAAACAGCACTCGTAAGTTTTTCAAAGACCACAAATTGCACTCGCCCTGGGGGCTCGTGCAATTTGGTTGGTCTTTGAGAAATTTGCTTGTTCTGATTTATCCCAAATTGTGCTGGAAATCATGCAATTACCTATACATTTTGTTATTGCTTCAGTTTACGAAGTGATCTTGGATTCGTGGATGTTGTGATAAATTAAGATTGATTCAAGGAGAGCGTTCGTAAAGTACATCCCCGTAATCGTAATTTATCGCGTCGAACCCGAACAAATTAGTTCTTAAGGCTTCGGGCGCCGATCCGTTACAAGCATTTTCCTCCTACATAGTTACATTCATGTAAAGTCAAATTCCCACAGATTCTGTTTGAGTGCTGAGCCAATATATACATCAATGTAAAGTTTTTGCAAATGAGATTGCAGCGCTCCCCTGATCTTGAATTGAATGCCAAGATCGTTTCTTTGTTTCCTTTTCAACTATTATTGTACATGAATTGTGTTCAAATACTGCAGTAAATGTTACCTCATATTTTCTTTTATTTGCTTTGCCAGGAAATAAAACAACAAATGAAGGAGCAGACAACAGTCTTTGTGCAGATCAGATAAAAATCCCAGTATCAAGTTCCAAGACGTATGTCTGTCGTCCCAAAGCATATGGCAGATATTTGTACATCAGATTACTTAAAAGGGATTTTTTGACGGTCTGCGAGGTTGAAGTTTATTCCTATCTTAAATCAGAAGGTAAGAGCGCTTTTCTTTCCTCCTGTTTATTTTATAGGTATGCATGATGCTTGTGTGTGTATCTGTTGTATCTTTTTTTTTTTGCCTTTTACTAAAAAAGTAATCAGTTTTTAAAATCGTTTTGTATAGTTCACGTATAAAAAGTTTCTGTATTTTTTAAATCAATCTGTTCATTTTGTTTCGTTCAAACGACAGAAAGTGACAAGGAATGCACGAGCCTGGCACGGGCACTCTGCAAAAAATCGGAAAAGTAGTTGTCACATGATTCGGAGTTTGACAAACAGACAGACCTCGTCGTATCGATTTGTGAGATAGATAAGATCTAGTTTTCGGATCGAAGCGTGTGAATCTGTGATCTTGTTTTGGAATGATTAAAGAGGATTTATGGTTGAAAATTTTGGTTTGAGTACAATTATCTACAGAGTCGTTTAGTTATTGTTCGCTTTCAAACAGAGGCTTTTTTACCGCTAGTCTGACGTAAGAACGATGGAAAGTCAAAAAGAATTACGGCTGTATACTGTGCACGTGCGATATTAAGGTGGCTCGACTGGATTTTTTTGAGGGGATACCTCCCAAGTTTGAGCATTAACTACGTCGCCACAAGTAAAGATATGGCAAAGAGATTACCACAACTGTATTATATAAAGATGAAAATTTCTTATGATCTGGGTTTTAATGCAATCGGATTCGCCATACCAACGTAACGACGCCATTACGTTTTTTATTTATCTTTGTGTTTCTCTGTACCAAGAGTTTTTTTAAAGAGATCGCTTAAGGGAGTTTGTACCTGCCATAATTGCCTCAATTATGGCAAAGTTTCAACAAATTCTATGAGAACGTTTTCGAGATATTTTGAAACAAAGTTTTAAGCATCATAAAAACAGTGAAATACAATGCTATCCACACAATTGGCTAATTTTTTAAGAAAATGATAAGCTTTGGAAACACGGCTTCATCTCATAGTGGTTTGATTCCATTGAAAACTGCGTACAAGAAAAGAGGGGAATTGCTCTGGGCGATCGCGAGTTAGAAGAATTTTAGTAACTTGCATTCAGCTGCTTTTGTTACAGTTTTTGCACGTTATTTGGTCCATGCCTACAATTTTCGCATTTTTCAAAAAACCGCTCGATAATTTTTTTTATAAATTTGACAATCCCGAGATCAATTGCCAATAAATATACCCTGCAAGTTTCCAGAACATTGAAAACAGGGAAGGCTTTTAAATAGGGCCTCAAATATAACAAATTTCCCCCCAGGTTTTGTGTTTACAAGTGAGCGTCCTCATTATTCACTGGCACTGTTTCTAAGTTTCATATGCACGTGCACATTTAGCAAAAAGAAATAAATTTGCATCGAAAAGAACTCTCGATTGCTTTCGGAAGAAATTCCGGAATATGCTAATAATTGGCTTGTGTCACAGATAGCAGTGAGAGCCGAGACGGCGAACGTCACGGCTCATCGTGTAGGATGCAATACTTTAATAGTTACCTTACTCGGGTTATAACGTCACAGAAACTCTTACAAAGAATTGCTGTGATGTTATAAAATATCACTAATTTCTTTACCCGGTTATTAGCATATTCGGGAGATTTAACCGAGGGTCCTTTTTGATGCAAATTCTATCTTTTTGCTAAATGGGCACGTGCATATGAAACGTGGAAACAATGCCAGTGAATAATGAGGACGCTCACTTGTAAACACAAAATCTAGGGGGAAAATTGGTTATATTTGAGGCCCTATTTGAAAGCCTTCTCTGTTTTCAATGTTTTTAAAACTTGCAGGGTATATTTATAGATGATTGATCTCAGGATTGCAAAGTTTATAAAAAAATTTATCGAGCGGTTTTTTGAAAAATGCGAAAATTGTAGGCATGGACCAAATTACGTGCAAAAACGATAACAAAAGCAGCTGAATGCAAGTTACTAAAATTCTTCTTACTCGCGATCGCCCGGAGCAATTCTCCTCTTTTTTTGTACGCAGTTTTCAATGGAATGAAACCACTATGAGATGAAGCCGCTTTTCCAAAGCTTATAATTTTCTTAAAAATTTAGCTAATTGTGTGGTTAGCATGCTATTTCACTGTTTTTATGATGCTTGAAACTTCGTTTCAAAATATCTCGAAAACGCTCTCATAGAATTTGTTCAAACTTTGCCATAATTGAGGCAATTATGGAAGGTACAATCTCCCTTAAGCGATTTCTTAAAAAAACTCTTGGTGCAGAGAAACACAAAGATAAATAAAAAACGTAATGGCGTCGTTCCGATTGCAATAAAAACCAGATCATAAGAAATTTTCATCTTTAAATAATACAGTTGTGGTAATCTTTTTTCCATATCTTTACTCATGGCGACGTAGTTAATGCTCAAACTTGGGAGGTATCCCCACCAAAAAATCCAGTCGAGCCACCTTAATACGGTCGTTTCTAGTATGAGTTGTTTCGTTGTTGTTTACTTTTTGAAAGATATTACATATTTGTATCTCGCCTTCACTTCTAAAAAGCAAGTTTCAAAAGGCCTATTAAGGTGGCTCGACTGGATTTTTTTGGGTTGATACCTCCCCAGTTTGAGTATTAACTACGTCGGCATGGTTAAATATATAAAAAAAAGGTTACCACAGCTGTATTATATAAGGATGAAAATTTCTTATGATCTGGATTTTATTGCAATCGGAGTCGCCATGGCAACGTAATGACGCCATTGCGTTTTTCATTTATCTTTGTGTTTCTCTGTACCAGGAGTTTTTTGAAGAAATCGCTTAAGGGAGTATGTACCTGCCATAATTGCCTGCAAAGTTTGAGCAAATTGTATGAGAGCGTTTTCGAAATATTTTGAAATGCAGTTTTAAGAATCATAAAAACAGTGAAATAGCATGCTAGCCACACAATTCGCTGATATTTTAAGAAAATGATAAGCTTTGGGAACGCGGCTTCATCTCAGAGTGGTTTGATTCCATTGAAAACTGCATACAAAAAAAGAGGGGATGTGAAGAGATAATTTATTGTTATTCAGTTATTTTGCTTTCGCTGGTAAAAATAGGAATAGCCAATGTAGAAATCATTTATTCTTTAGTCTTAACTTCCTTAAGCCGTAAACAACCTGTTGATTTATTGAGCGTTAACTTATTTGTCAAGTCATAATTGTATTTAGTCTTCAAAGTGTAATCAACCTGTAAAAAGCCGTTATCCACCTGTGTAGCTTTTGGAAGTAATTAATGTTTCAAAACAAGCTTAGGTTTCCACCAATAGTCTTGTAGAAATGATTGTTGTGCTCTGTAATTTGACTCGTTGAGTTGTGATGTAATCTGTATCGCTTCGTTAGCTTAGGCTTAAATACGAGTGCTTTGTAGGAGCTCTTCGGTTACATCCAGTTCCATCTAGTCTTGGTTACATTTTGGTTGGTTATGTTCCTGACTCTACCTACAGTATAGTCTTGGATTAAACTTCTACATTGGAGCCAAGTTCTGTTGTAATCATTTTCTCAAGGGTATTCAGCAGGCGTAAGAGATTCCGTGCCTTCCCGCAGCCAGCGAGTGTCCCCAGGAAAAGGCCTTTCCCAGAGAATTTTAGAGTTTTTCCCCGTCCGTCAGTTTACCCTTTTGTGAAGGCAAAACCTGTTTCCACACTGGTGTTAAAGTGAAAAAAAAGTGTTTTCACAGGGAATTGCTCGGGGCGATCGCGAGAAAGAAGAATTTTATTAACTTGCATTCAGCTGCTTTTGATACAGTTTTTGGACGTCATTTGGTCCATACCTAAAAATTTCGCATTTTTCCAAAAACCGCTCGATAATTTTTTTTATAAATTCGACAATCCCGAGATCAAGCGTCAAGAAATATCCCCTGCAAGTTTCAAGAACATTGAAAATAGGGAAGGCTTTTAAATAGAGCCTCAAATATAACCAATTTTTCCCCCCAGATTTTGTGTTTACAAGTGAGCGTCCTCATTATTCACTCGCATTGTTTTCAAGTTTCATATGCACGTGCGGAACTATCAAAAGATATAAATTTGGATCAAAAGAACTCTCAATTACTTTCCGAAGAAATATCTGGAATATGCAAATAATTGGCCTGTCGTCACAGATAGCAGTGAGAGCCGAAACGGTGAACGTCACGGCTCATCGTGTAGGATGCAATACTTTATTATCTTACTCGGGTTATAACATCACAGAAACTCTCACAAAGAGTTGCTCTGATGTTATAATGTATCACTAAACTCTTTACCCGGTAATTAGCATATCCCGGAGATTTAACCGATGGTCCTTTTTGATGCAAATTCTATCTTTTTGCTAAATGTGCACGTGTATTTGAAACTTGAAAACAATGCCAGTGAATAATGAGGACGCTCACTTGTAAACACAAAATCTGGAGGAAAAATTGGCTCTATTTAAAAGCCTTCCCTGTTTTCAATGTTCTTGAAACTTGCAGGGAATATTTCTTGACGATTGATCTCGGGCTTGTCGAATTTATAAAAAAATTTATCGAGCGGTTTTTGGAAAAATGCGAAATTTTTAGGCATGGACCAAATTACGTCCAAAAACTGTATCAAAAGCAGCTGAATGCAAGTTAATAAAATTCTTCTTTCTCGCGATCGCTCGGAGCAATTCCCCTCTTTTTTTGTATGCAGTTTTCAATGGAATCAAACCACTATGAGATGAAGCCGAGTTCCCAAAGCTTATCATTTTCTTAAAATTTCAGCGAATTGTGTGGCTAGCATGCTATTTCACTGTTTTTATGATTCTTAAAACTGCATTTCAAAATATTTCGAAAACGCTCTCATAGAATTTGCTCAAACTTTGCCATAATGGAGGCAATTATGGCGGGTACATACTCCCTTAAGCGATTTCTTCAAAAAACTCCTGGTACAGAGAAACACAAAGATAAATGAAAAACGCAATGGCGTCATTACGTTGCCATGGCGACTCCGATTGCAATAAAATCCAGATCATAAGAAATTTTCATCTTTATATAATACAGCTGTGGTAAGCTTTTTTCCATATCTTTACTCATGCCGACGTAGTTAATGCTCAAACTGGGGAGGTATCAACCCAAAAAATCCAGTCGAGCCACCTTAACAGGAGACCAGAAGCGAACATTTTCGCTTTCAAAGCGCGAGCTTCGTTTACGCGAAAGCGAACGATTCTCACCCAATGCACGGAGCCGTGATTTTTAGAATGAATTATAAGTGTACACTTTTAGAGAGCGCGCTTTATCGACTCGAAATTTAAAACTCGATCCTCGATCCTCGATCATCGAAACTCGAGACTCGATCCTCTAGATGCGAGACTCGATCCTCGAAAGTTTCGAGAATCGCAAATCGAGTCTCGCGTCTCAAGGATCGAGACGCGAGTGACTGTCAACTTACTTTTGAGCGGTAGTGTATGAGGAAATTCGCGCCCCTTTCCCCGCTAGTTTCTTGGTGAGTTGCCGACGTGTGCGATCACCAAATGACGTAATACAAAAGACTGAAAAGACACTGACAATGCCCAAACCACAACAAGATAGCTAACTTTCCGCCGCTGATCAGGAGTGACGTCCTGCTCGCATGTTCCCTCGCTTTTTTGGTTTCGACGGAGTATTAGCTTTGGTTTGAATTCATACTACACTCATTCTAAAACGGCGATTAGGTTAAACTGGGCAGCCTCACGTCGCTGTATATAAAAGAACAGCGGTCGATCGGAAGCGAGTATATATTGAGCTTGTAAAGTGAAGTTTATGAATGGATGATTAAGCAGTCAGGAGCCAAGATGGACGTTAAATTTTAAGCCCACACTTCTTACCTTAATGAGTCGTTTTTCCACAGTCCTTTTATTGGTAATTTTCACTGAAATTATGCCAAAAGAGACAGTTTCTTCACTAAAGTAACAAAATCAAGACATAAAGGATAAGGTCGACGCTCTTTCGAAGGAAATAGCACAGCTGAAAGAGTAGCCAAAGGTTGATGTTGACTGGGTCATTACCTCTGTTGCTTAAGTAACCGCTACCTCTGGAAATAGCAATCATAATTCTTCGAATGATGAAACCGTGTCTCGTAGTCTTTAATATCTGATCGAGCAACGAATGCGACGACCTGTCGGCCTCTTATTATGATGCCGTTAATCGTCTCAAGGCATTAAGCCTTAATGAGCTCAACGCTGAAGTTACACGTGTTGGCAACCCCATTGACGAGGTTGAGGAATAGAGCTACCAACTCAATAGTTGGCCTGCCAGAGA